AAAAAAAAAAAAAAAAAAAAAAAAAAAAAAACTCAGAACACTCGATTAACCTTGGTAATAAATCCATCTTATATAATAATCCGAGTCTCGTATAAAAAAGATAAATTTTACTTTCGTCCATTAAATTTCATCCAATTATTCTTCCCCCCTTATAATTATATCGTTAAAAATAAAACCCATAAGCCTTTGCTCAACGAGTCATTGTCTTTTATCCACTCCATTCGTTTTTGGTTTACAATAACCCAAACGACAACCGTAAATAAGCTGATCTGCAATTACAATGGATCCGCTTAACGCGCTATAAATTACAAAGTGACGTCCGCTTGAATTGCGAAAATCATTCTTTTCGCGTCTGGATAAGAAAAAAGTTTCTTTTCTCATCTCGGTCCAATTCTGGCCGGCCGTATTCCGGAAGTTGCCGCAAAGGGGACAAGCCTGAATTGGTGGCTATTTAATTAGCGACTCCTCGAAAGGCGACGAGTTTCCGCTATTTCTTTCCCTCTTCCTCTCTCTCTCTCTCTCTTTTTCTTTCTCTCTTTCTTTCGTTCTTTGTAAGAAAGTATATAAGCGCACGGATGGCGATTCGTCTTTGGAACGAATAATAACGCGAGACGAGCTCGATAATTAGTTCTCGTTGATATCGAGCAATAGAGATACCGGGTGGTCTGTCAGAAATAGAACGATATGAATTTAATGGGCCCGCAAGTCGGATAAAATACGGGAATAATCTTGTTTATTTGATTGGTTCGAGGAAATGAAATCGTCGTGAGAGCCCCCTTTGTTTTAATCTTACGAGCGGAATCCTCTTAATCGATTTAATTGATATTATTATTAGTTACATTTTATACGAAGATTACGTACTAATGAATTTTTCCTAATAATACATAAGTTTAACTATTGGTTACGTTTTCTTTTATAAGAGTATTAACTTTTGAAACTGATGAGAGTGTTCATCAAGAGTTTGTTCATACATATTTGGTATCAATGGATACATTCATGACTGACAATTTTGACAAAATACAATTTTAATTTCGTCTTTGAGTTTGAATTCAATGTTTTGAATTCAACGTTTATTCTGATACAAAACGCGTTATTCAAAAAAAAAGATCGATTTATCTTCGATATTTGAAGGTAAAAAAAGAAATAATCGCGCTTAAAATAACTAAAAATAACTAAAAATATTAAAAATTTAGTTGAATTAAAATTTTTGTAAGTTATAAAATATTACATTTACTAAAAATTTATATTAATAATATTATAAATTTAAAAATAAAAATTAAAAACAAAAATGTAATATTTCATAAATTAAATTTCTTTTAATACGTTTATATTATTTTATATTAAATAAATTATTAGACTGCGAATGAAGCGAATGTATCAAAAAAGAATCTATTAATGACTATTCGATGATTTAGATAGATCATGTGGTATAAAGAAAATCGGAAAAAGGGGAAACCAGAAATTCAAAATTGAAACTCTCTCGACCGTCCGTTTATTTCTTAAATTAATCCCGGCTTAAAGTCGGATTTTCTTCGCGATATCGATCGTCCTTTGCAATCGTGTCACTCGTCGCACGGTTCACTGAATAAATCGTTCTCCGTTCACGTCGCTAATAAATATGTATCGTAAATCTATAGAGAAAGAGAGAGAAAGAGAGAAAAAGAGAGAAAAAATTTGATATAGTGTATCAGACTAGTCGATTTTTCGGTATATGAGGCCACGGTGTTTTATAAAGTATAATTTCACTGCATACATCGAGAGAGCACGCTATACACAATGTACGCCGTTATGTCACACACGAGACCATTTTAACTTTCAAACGCGATCCTAATATCAGATATCGAGGAAATCGATAATCATCTTGCCGCTTTCGACTCCATTAATTGCTTGTAAATGTTGGAAATTGATTTTTTAAAACTCTATTCTCGTATACTTATGTATATGCGTCACTCTATCCACATATCATTACGTATAATACGATTAGTCAAATACGAAATCTAATAAACGTTCGATCATAAAAATGTTTTACAATTATGAAAGAGAACGGGAATACGAACAATTAGGAATGGAATTGGGCTTACGAATGCATTTTAAGCAGTTTTGCAGACGTAGATTGCTCGAAATTAAAAAATAAAAGAGAAAAAAGACGTAAAATGCATTCTCTCCAATAAATCGATATACATAGGTATTGCGCATGTAATTGCTTCTTTAACGCCGACATTTTGAAATATAGTTTGATAAAACAACGCCTATTGCGACGAATTATTAAAAATCTGTCACAATGACAGAAAAAGATATTAAAGCCTCCAAAAGTATCTTCGAATAACGTTTTTTCTTATATTTAATAATCTTAGTTCGATAATAACGATGTTTCAATATATATATCTATATATATATATATATTGAAATTTACGACGCAAAAGAAAAAAAAACTCACCGGTTACGTCGGGGCTCGTTGACGACGCTTTCAACTTCGTCTCGAATGTCGTGTCAGCCACTTGGAACCTCTAGTTTTCCACTTTAGCGAGTTAAACTTGGAGTTTGTCTTCAATATGACACAGTTTAAAGTATTTTCACAGCACATCGACGTTTACTTCGTCGCACTTAATTAGATCGCGGGCTCCGGCACGTCAGAACGAAACGGGAAACGAAGACCGTGCTGCCACCTTCAGGCGGAGTCGTGAAGTTCTTGCGCAAAAGATTAGGCGGGAAATCATTACGAATACGAAAGGTAACTACAACATATATGAATATAAATTAATTATTTAAATTAATTAGAAAGTTAAATATAAATATAATTGAATAGATAGAATAATTATACGTTACGTTTATGCCAGATAAATCGGGATTTCCATAAAATTAGATTTTATTAATTTCTTTTTTTACAATAAGACAACAATCTCTATTGAGTATCTGTAGTATGTATAAAAATTAATTTACATACTCGTTAGAAATAATGAGAAAGGATATATTAAGCTCGAAGTTATAGTTTATTCCACCGGTAACAAAAAATACGGAATCGTGGAGAACTTTCTTGCATAAGCGTCGTTATAACTTTGAATTAGAAGAAAGAGACAAGAGGGAAAAGGAAAAAGACGTTAATATTACAAAAATTAACAATTACAGTTAGCTTTCACCGCTGTAACTTCCCGTTGGAAAAAGTTTCAGCGTTTCCACGCCTCTCGCATACGAAAATAACTAGAATCGTGCAGCTAATCCTGACAAAATAACATATAGCACCTGAACTTCGAGAACCACCGTAGCCGCAAAAATTTAGTGATTTTAAAAAGCTTTCTATACTTTAACGAACCTATTTAATTATTGGAATGGAACATCACCGTGCACATTCACGATGTTTTCATCGAAATAATTGCTCCTTCATTTAGCAACGGTGATAGTCGTTCGCGAGAAATAAAGAAGGAATGCTTTTATTATATATATATATATCATCGTTAAAATACAAAGAGAACATAGAAAACTTGAGAACAAAGTTCCATCCTTGAAAACTTTCTTCGTTCGCAATCGAGAAGATCTTATCGAAGATCGATCCGATAAAGCGGATCGAAACGATCCTCTGTGCATAATTTATACGTACACATACACGAAAACATCTCGCCAAATGAAGTAAAATGAAACGCACGAGATTCTCGAGATTGAATTAAAACAAATCGAGATAACTGGGGATTAATGCCTCTCGTCGAGGCGAGAAAGTTTGATTAATTTGGAGATCGGTCGCACCGATCTCCAATGCTGGTTAACTTATAATTGCCAACTTTCTAGCGGAAACACGAGGGACGACACGGTGGTTCGGTCGTGAAAATTAAAAGGGAAAATCGGCGCGTGTGAGTGTGAGTATGATCCTATTAAAAATAGAGCTTATCCTATTTAAACAGAGCTTATTTTACGCTCGTTACATCTTTTCCATCGTATCCTTTACGCAGCATAATTCCTCAAACGTTAGACGTGTCTCGTTCGATGATCACCTTTCAACAATAAGCTCATGGTTATTATTATTAAACTAGAAAGAATGTGGAGGTAGCGCGTCAGATCGTAATTCGTTCTCGCACATTTGGGCGACATTTGTCAAAAGTTTCTCGCATCGCATTCAGTTACAGTCCGAAGAAGTACCAGTTGTACTTTCACCTCCGTTTCCTCCAGTTGTACTATCATCGTGAACACCATCTTTCGTCACCTCTTGATTAACTCTTGATTAATTAATGGATAATTTACTGGCAAGTTAAAGGCTAATCTCGCAGATTAGTTCTTACACGTAGCTCCAAATTCCCCATATCCCGCGGTGAGAAGAAAACAAGAAGAGAAAGAGGAAATAGGAAGGAACTTGGATGGTAAGAGAACTTGCAGCACCTTTTTTCTTTTTTTTCTTTTTTTGTCTGGAATCACATCCAGCCAATCCTCTCACGCGATGTTTCTTCGAATCGAGCCAGCGAAATCGTTATATCTATATCTGTACTGTATATATATATATATATATATATGAAAATACGAAATGACGAACTCCTGGCTAGTTCCTCTTGCTCGAGTTAATCAGATACTTGCAGCAATGAGTGAGCAAGTGTTTTTCACCGGTGATGTCATGCGGCACGTTTGTCGGATTGGTCGATTCCCTTGTATAAATATCAAGCCCATACTGGCCCTCCTCTGGAAAGCTGATCGAGAAAGTCACCACGTCGTCGTCGGCGATTGAATGCGTGACGTATTTGGACAAGCGTTTTTCCTCGATGCCATTTTTGTGCAGCGTCGCCATGAAGTCGGTCAACGATCTCGACATTCGAAATTGGATTTCCAACTCGCGGCCAGCGAACACCAGTGCCTCCTGATGGATCGAAAAGATGTAAAAGAAATGAGTTACAACAACGTTTCTGATATTTCAATTTTTAACAATCGAAAGAGAAAAGAAATATACATGAAACCAGTGAATTTCGAGTTTAGCGGCTCTACTTAAAAGTGAAGACAAGAAAATACCTAGAAAATATAAATAGCCGTGGAAATATGGAGAATAATTTAAAAATAGTTTAAGATAATAGTTTATCGTGTAAGATACCTGATGGGTTATTGGTATGAGGCCGAAGAGTCTGGTGGCTTTCGTAGGGCCCCATTCGCCACTCGCGCAATCGGGCAACGGCACCATCACCGTTTGCAATTCCTCGCAAGCGATTTTGAATTTGCACACGCTCTTGAACTTCATCGGCTCCCCTGTTAAGTATTCCTTCGGCGTGACAGCGTTGGCAAATATGTCCAGGAGGAAAGCTCCCGAACAGGGCGCGTGAACACGGAACGCGACGATATTCCCGACGACAGACTGTATAACAAATAAATAAAATTTCCAAAATAAAATTCTTACGCGATTTCTTCGATTTTATATTTATCCAAAGAATGATACATGATTGGATAAGCAGTGTTAAAATTCACGAGGTCTCGTCAAACATCTCGTTAAGAGATCGAGAGATCGGTACATAAATCAAACATTGAAAATCAATATTGAAAAACGTACATGATATCATCGTAAACATTTGTTGAAACGGATTGTTTGAACGGATCTGTTACTTTACCGAATTTCTTCATTAATTAATTTCACTTGGCGAGCAATCAATTAACGAGACGACTCCCAAACTCCTAGATTTCCTTCTTTGATTACATTTCCCTGATTATTTATACAGGATGGATGATGAACAATTGTTACCCGTGAAAGAATTTTCATTTCCATCAAGTTTCTCAAGAAGGTTTACCTGCATTACGAAACGTTTCAACGACACGCCGTCGTAACCGTCCCCGTCGTTGTCGTAGAATTTCAAGTTGTAATGGAAAATTAGGGACGATTGCATGTGAGCTGGCATGGCTATCCTCACGGTCGCAGCGCCTGTAGAATCCGTGTACATGACTGCGTTCGTGTTCGTATCCGGAAAGTAGAGGCCGTACCTGTCCAATTTCCACCGATCGAATGTTTAATCCTCGCGATAATCGTCGAATTTTATTCTTTTTTTTTTTTACCTGAAGAACAACGAGCGCACGAAAGGCAGCTCCTCGAAATCTTTGAGGGAAATCGGTTGCTTGAGCAATTGCCACTCCTCTTGAAGGGGGAAGAATTCGTAGATGAATTCACGCGGGTCCGTGAGGAAGTAATGATCGTCGTATTCGTATCTGGGGAAAAAATAGAAAAAGATGGATTGAACGATTGGAGCTGAGGGGGAAAATACGATATTGAACCGTGTCTCACCTCAGACTGTCGTTCTTGGCCTTCGGTTGGCCAGGACGAGGAACTTCTTTGGCATTGACCAGATGTCTTGCCCCCCAATTGCATTGAACGAATCTCCATGCACCGGCCACGTAAACGGCGTTCCAACTGTTCCGGAATCGATTGTCCTCGAAGCAAACACCCGGCTGATAGCCGGCCGATTTGCTGTAACCCTTTATCACCACGCAATGCAGTCCAGCATAACTGAAGGAAAAAAATATCGCGTGTTTGAATTTTTGAAAACGTGAAAAATTATCGATACGTTTCGTTCGTTTCGAATTTTGAAAAAGAGAGAGAAAAAAATATGGATACGCCTTTAGGGATGAATTATTATTTTGGGCGTGTCGTGAGAAAGATCGAAAGAAGTCAGAGCGTTTACCTGCACAATCGTTTGAACAGAACGTGGTAACTTTCAGTCCCGTGTTTTATTCCTCTCAACAAGCCCATAGGCGTGTCCCCGCGTAAATTCTCGTCGAACTGCATAGTATTTAGATTCTTCACGGTGATCCATCGGAATATCGTCCTAGCTTTTTCTATATCCGATCCGCATCTGCTCACCAACTGCCGCACCAGATCTGTGAACGTTTTCTGATCCTCTTGAGCCACCTGATTTGTCAAAGAAAAAAAAACATAATTCGCAAAAGTATCGATTACGAAAATCATTCGTTATCAAAATATATATTAACTTTCGAAAGTATTGAATTAGCACGAGATAGCTTTTTTTAAAAATAACTCTCCAACGAGATGGATAAAATTTAAAAATTTTATTCTCAGTCTTCTATCACCACCTAGACGAATATTCCCACGTGAAAAACTTTATATATAAAGAATGCTGATTCCAAAAAATCAAATGATGACAGAAAATATGACTATATCCGAAAAAATCAAATTTATGTCATCTTCGACGATTCTAGGAAACTGGAACAACCCTCAGCCTCCCCTTCACCCCTCTATTTCGCTAATATCGTCGTTCAACGTATCGAATAACGAATAGCCACGACACGATGGTCGTCGTAAGACGAACCATCCTTCGAACGAAAGAAAGGTCGTAAATCGATTACTAGTCCCCGTGTATAGACGAAGGAACGCGGATAAAAAGGCGAGGATATATGAAAATATCCGATTCGATTTAAAATTCCGCGTGTGTAACGCACTTCCCCTTCCACGTTTAGGAAAGGATGGCGGTGTTAAAGGGGGGAGGGGGGGGGCTTACCGAAATAGCTATCTGATCCATGTCGGCAAACTCGAGAGGATCATTGTAGATGTGATACTTGGCGAGGGCTGGGGGTTGTGGGGGTGGAGCACGCGACGGATAAGGCAAAGGCGGCGCTTCCTGGGCATAACCGTCCCCCTCGTCGAGATACAGGCTCTCCTGGCGCATATACTCGCTCCTCGCCTCGTTGATCAGCTCCAACATCTCCGAGCTCTGTTTCTCCACCAGCGCCGCGGTTGCCGCCCTGGAAATTAGATCGAGAAAGGAAATTTTCGAAAATTTCCCGATACGTAAAATCGAAACTTGCGTCTGGATTTTATGGAATAGATAAAGGATATGGAATTCTTTATTACGATTGAAGAAATTCGATGATAGGATTTTTGATAAATATAGATGGATATCGTTGGGGATAGATCGGTAAATTTTTCATTCGTAAAGAAATTCGAGAGAAAAGTGGTGAAAGGAGGGAGGGCAGAGTGGGTTTCTTCCACCCACTTTCTATTAAGATATAAATCTTATCGTGTAAAAAAGAAAAAGAAAAAAATACTTGTCGCGATGGCAGGAAAGACGACACGTTTCGAGCACGATAAAAATAAATAAGTTTTCTCCTCGGAAAAGTAAACAGATTCGAGGGGATTAATCGTGGATCAAATGACACAATCGCGTGATTTTCCCTCCCGAATGAATGAAACGGCACGAATGTGGAATCGGTTTAATTAAGTTTAATAAGTACCGTTCGTGCTCCAACATTTTGCGCGTGAGACTTTCCTTCTTCTTGTCCCTGCGAAGAGTCATGTTCTTCTCCAAGTCCTCTTTCTCCTGTTGAAATTGCTGGGCTCGGGCTCTTCCGCCTTTTTCTCGTTCCCATCTCGCCGATAATTGTTCCAACTCCTTCTCCCATTCATCCTACTCGATAAACAATTAATCTTCCACGATTATAATAATAATTATAATAATAAGAAAATTACAACTCGTCGAATTGCAGAATTATACAATTTTCTTGATGAGTTTCCAAATCGTGAACATTTCACGTGATATTGCATATTCACGCGTTATACGGATTCGATACAATATAATTTTGTTAATATTAAAAATAAATATACGTACCCTAAATTCCTCTCGAATTCGTCTGTCCTCCTCCTCGCGATGGTGGGCGAATTTTCGATAGAGGTCATCCTCTTCTTTGCGATGTTTCATCTCCAAACGCGTTTGCTCATCTCGATCCTGATAATTATAACAAAAAACAGAGAACGATCAAGCCTCTTTCTCCTAATTATCGAAACGAAAGAAACGTTCTTCTTGCGGTCATCATCCGGTTCGCGCGGGAAATTTAAAACGAATCGCTTTCGTGGATTCACAACTCGAACGAGTTTCACCCAAGAAGAAGAAGAAGAAGTCGCAATTAAATTCTTCTTCTCTTCTTCTCGTTTATCGAAAAGCCTCAGCGTCCCATAGGCGTCCAGTTTTTTCGTTCTTGAGCTTACTTTCACGCCGTGTTTTCTGTTTTCCAAAAACGGGGCTTTGAATGATCAAAGCCGATAAACAGTTCTAACGAAGAAAGAGGATGGACGGATTAATTCGTGTATCGTAATCGAGGATCCACGAAGATAAATCGATCATCCATTTCGTGGAAACGAATGGAACGTGTCTCGACGATCGTTTGAAAATGGTTTCGTCGGATTTGGCCTCGAGTTACGCAATTTCCTGCATCGTATAGGCCGCGTAATAAACTAAGAAATACGCACAGCCCACGCTACAGTTACGTCATGGTGACGCAAATTGTCGCGAGAAATAAATAAGGACGATGTTGGAGAGCACTGACATTTCCACGAGTTTTCAATCAGTTGAAAAAGATTTTTGATCGAAGGGATGATGATATTCCAAGAAATTTAACGGTATATCGCGTATCTTTCAGTTTAACTAAATTTTTTTAAAACAAGCGATTTTCACAGGATTAATCTTAATTTTTAATGAAACAGGAATATATTTATTTATTTATTTTTTTCTTTTTTTACGAATATATCCAATTGAATAAATTTATAATAAATCAAACTAGGTTATTTGCAATTTGAAATTTGCACGACGAAAAAAAATTCTATTTCCATAGTTGAATCTCTCTTTGTACGGTAAGGAATGTTGCGGTTGTGCTTGCTAAAATTGCTTAGACAGTCTAAGTTAGACGAGTGTCAGCCTCTCACTGCGACAGGTGCAATTAGCTTTTTTTTTTTCTAGGAAAAAAGAGAAAGAGACAATAATTTCTCGTAAGAACCGAGAGACTATTTTGAAATCGATGACCACCGTTCCCTCGTCGTTTGCATCCGCACGAGAAGAATAAAAATTATCGTTAAAACGATGAGAAAGCGCGGTAATAGGATTAATCTTCAATCAATCTGTTTCCTCGAGTTTCATCGAGAAGAAGCGATTTTTTTCGTTACATAAACCGGTCGACAAATTTTGCGCGATAAAGTTCTTCGATTATTTATTGTTCAAGGAAATATTTCTAAGAATATATATTTTATAATGTCGCCACGATTAAAAATCGAACTTAAAGAAAATATATTTAAGATATTATTAAAATCTATGGGATGAAAAGAGACGAGAAACTCGACGAGGTTGAATAAAAATCCTCGGTATTATATCTATTATAAATTTATCAAATGTAAAGATATTGAGCTTCCCAGACGGTGGAGAAAAAGGAAATCAGTGAACACGTTAATAGGATTAATTCGATCAATCTATTTGCCAACGTCGTTAAAGAAGTAATTCTCTTCGATGATTGTTCGCGTGACTGGTTAACCAAGATTCCGTCACGAAAGAAATTTCCAACTTCTGTTTGCTTTTTCCTCGAACAGATGTGTTCCATTCGTGGATACGTTTCCGTTAAAATATCGAGTTTTAGCAGAAGTTGTCGCGTCTGGCACAGATTTCCTTCCTCACGCGTGTAAACGCGTCGCGGTAATGAGCCACACTGCTAAAAGTTCGCGTCGTCTGTTTAATTTCAAAGGAAACGTTCCCGTAATCCTTTCGTTTGTAAACAGAAGATTTGTATCGATATTCCCCTCCTTTGTTATTAAACTCGAACGAAATTGGACGAGATCGTTTATAAACACAGAATTAAAATTCTCGCGTTCGATTTTTATTTTTATTCGCGAAAGAAATAATTTTTAATAATAATAATAACAATAAATATTACAAAATATCACCGTATTAAAAAAGAACATTTTATAAAGAGATTTTTAAAATACAAAATCTCCAAAAAACTACTACTCTTCGAAAAAAGAAAGAAAGAAAGAAAGAAAGAAAGAATTTGCATGATAAACGCGCAATCGATCACTGTACCATCGATATTTCCAATCCGCGCAATGGATCTCACCGAAAAAGGAGAGAAAAGAAAGTAAGAATAAAATCGATAGACACGGTCGCACGATTGACCGATTCCAATTAACATCCGTGGGTCGTTGGTTGGCGAAGGCGCCATGAGAGGTGAGCCACAATCGCTGTTTAAAACGGGATACGCACACGGTGTCCTCCCTTCCCTCCGCTCTTTCCAACCAACGATTCTCTAATTAACCGTGAGCCACGGGTACCGCAAGCGGAAACGACTCTGGGTCCGCGCGAGCTTTCCATCGCGTCCACGTGAAAATAAGACGCGTTCTTCCGTGGCAACTGTTCGAATAACGTTCACGAGGACGTTCGCGGCCATTGTTCTCGGATCTGGCGGAAACGGGTTGCCCGCGCGAAGAAAGTCGCCTCGTGGAACCTTGACAGAGGAGGAACGCGCGAAAGCGGGAGACGGAACGAGGAGAAAATTTCACTTCGCTTGGATCTTTTTTCTTTTTACGATTCGAAAATACATCGTTCTGGAAAAATTGTTGATAATTCGTATTCCGTAATAAAGAAATTTCGCGAGGCGACAAATTTATCGAATTGAGTTCTAAATATTTTGGAGTGAGAAAAATTTTGTAATAAGAAAGATAAATTTTATACGAAAAACTCTGATATCACGTCAGAAATTTTGATTGGAATAAGAAGTTTAAAAATATTTTTACATACAATTTTCTCTCTCGGAATTTTCATCAAAGAAATATCTCGCAAACATCTTTAATAACGTCCTTGCAATATCTAAAGACGACAGATACGGCTTCTTGCTCGCCCGATTTTTGCGATTCTTCACGCTTCGCGTGCCACGATCGTCGCCAATTTCTTGCGATCTTCGATCGCTCGAACGCCTCGTGGATCGGCCATCCGCGATTCATGGTTCCAAGAATCGTAGAGATCGACACGGTAGTTCTTCATCTATCGATCGAGGAGAACGATCGTCGAGAATTTACGAGCGGTCGATAATTGGGGAACCGCGTGGGCAAATCCGATCTTGGGCGTGCCATTATTATTTTTTTCTTCTCTTTTTCTCTCTTTTTTTTTTTTTATTTTACTTCTTCGTTCTTCTTGGACGTAGAAAGTACGTGATCTAACGGTCCCATCCAACGCGCCACTGATTATCATCCGTTCAAATAAAATGGAAACGAAACGAGATTCACGTGTTGAAATGTTACGAAGAATTCCGTAATATTCGACTTGGAGTATTGGAAAATGGAATGTAAAGACAGTCTAATTTTTATAGATTTATCAGAGCAGAAAGGTGAATAATCTTTGAATATGCTTCATGGTCACGTGGACGTAAATTGCACAGACGGTGGTTAGACGGTGAAAAATTATAATTATCTTGAAATTTTTAGTATATCGTATAAATTAAATTATCCCAACTAATCTCTAATTTTAAACGCGTATCTACTTGTGTACTTATATATCTCCTTAATAGATTGAAATTATTTAATATTAATTTTTATCGTTTCAAAAATATAGATTCTCTTCAACACTATACAATCACATCATTTTTTACTTGGTAAAAATTTTGTTATTTTCCTGGTAAAAATTCGAAACAAATAATCAATGCAATGTATGGAGGGATGGCGAGGGTCCCTCGTCAACGTCGGTTAACCGGAAACGAGGTGGTGCAGAGAAACGGGCGTGCACGACCCTGCTCGATGCCCACGCTACTTTCGTTTCGTAAGAGCGTGCACGCAGGTAGGCTGACATTCACGAAATACTATAAATAACGGCCGTAGCCGGCGGGAGGCCGTTTTGCTGGATGTGCACGCGAAAGCGGATTGAGAGAAAACGCGGCCGATAGTGGAGCGACTAGCGGCTCGGCCTTCTTCTTCTTCTTCTTCTTCTTCCTAGCCCCGGCCACCATGGGAAAAGCAGACGGCATTCTCATTTTCATGTAGGGCCCGTCTCAACCGCGGTACACATTCCTCGTTTGTCAATTCGAGCCGCGCATGAAAGTCACGGAATCCTGGTTCCACATTCCAACGGCAATCGGAAATTTTCGAGCATTTTCTCATTAACGAACGGCGTTGCACAATCGAAGAATTTGCCAACGTTACCGTCCAATAACTCCACGCGTCGAAATATCTTTGCTTTGCTAGCTCAACTCTCGAAAACTGGATGAGAGTTCGAATTTTGTTCGGCTCGAATCGATCGATAGGGGATGAAGAGTGGGGTGCAACGTCGAACAGGACTCGATAATATACTCCGTTCGACCGTAGTCAAATTGTTGGAATTGTATAAAAAACGTGGTGTGTTTTATTCGATAATAGAAATAGGATTAAATTTAGTATTATTTTTTGTTTCAAAAGGAATTATAATTTAATAAAAAATTGTAAGAATTTTCCAATTTTATCTCATTTTAATATCTTTGTTGCAAATTTTTACTTTTATTTATCGGATAAGATGAATGAATTGAGATAAGTACCGAGTCGAAATAGTAAGATAGTAATCATCTTTGATAACTAACCGACATTAGAATTTTATCCTCGATGTTAACTGACGTTAATTGGACACATAGTTAATGCAAGCGCAGTATCAACGCTTTCAGGTATTATTCGTAGAAAGAGTTTGTTGTTAATCGTAATCGTTTAATGAGATGGGTTAGAATCCAAGAGAACTGAAACGTTCATAATCCAATTGGTAAAAAACTCTGAATAACCGAGAAAAATCGTGAAATTCAAATTTTCCATTATTTTCAACTCGTACTTCGAATCTTAATCCATTCTTCGAAACAATTTTCAATTCGATCGTGCAAAAATTTTTTAAAAATACATTCACGTGCCACTAAAAAAAAAAAAGAAAAGAAAAGAGAAAAAGACAGTTTCGGAATAAACTTTCAAGTATCCCCACGTCTCAATTTAAAGTTACCCAACTCCGTTACGACATTGCAACTCGAAAGAGACACGATGCAACATCTCCATATAAGACGCCCCATCTTTTCATCGCGCCATTTTTGCCAATCAAAATACCAATATTCAGATCTCGATCGATCGAACTTTTAACTTTGAAAGAAAGCGATTCGACTTTTATCGAAAAAAAAAAAAAAAAGAAAAGAAAAAGATAAAAAAAATAAATAAAAAATTTTAAATAAAAAAAAAAAAGTGAAATTCCACGCAGCGGTAACACCTCAAAGAGGCAAAGTTAATAACATATCGATAAAACGATCGGTCAAACAACGACAATTAAAAACCTCATGCCGGTTTTAATTACGCGTTTGGATCGGCGTATAGAAATAGAGGTAACCCGTTCCCAATATGGCGGTGACCGTGACGAATGATTTCACCGGACTATGCGAATGACTCACCAGATAATAATCGATGGGCTTCTCGCGTGCCTTGCTGTAGCCCTTCTGAAGCTCGGTCTGCTTAAGGGCATGGGCGATGTGAAGCGCGCTCGCGTCGAATCTCCCATACTGGTAGCTCCCGTCCCCGGAATAATTATAGTTGTAAGGCGAGGACGCCCCTCCACCGGAGTTACCATGAAGATCACGATGGGACGAATTGGTGGCCGGCGGTGAACCGTGTCCGTTCAGGTGCCTGGCACAATTAGGCGAGTCTACATTATCGTAACTGGAACAAAATTATGCAACGGGTGTTGAGGGGGGCCAGGGTCGACGTGAACTTCTATCAGAGCAGCGAGAGATCGCGAGGATGGAAAATGTAGAAAAGAGAGAGATAGAGAGAGAGAGAGAGAGAGAAGAGAACGAGGAAAATAAAAAAAATGAAGAGATCATCGCGATCATCGGAGATTTAAACGGATTAAAGCAACCTTCTTTTTTCTCTCGTTCGTTCATTGCGAAAAGTGACGATCTTCGTCCCCGCTTCCGGCATTTACCAACGCGAATTCAAACGCGTCGAGGAACCGGGTCAGCTTTTTTTCCCGGAACTGGGCCGCGGATGGAAACGTTGTTCCACGCGGATTCGTCGATTCAATTGCATTTCACGGAGCATCCTATGCAGTTAATTACCACACCTGAGCCTGATTCATCGGCTTATGAAAAATACAACGCGCGCGAGAGAGCTTGTGCTCGTGCTTGTGCCGCATCGCTTATGAGAAACCAGAGAGTTTCTCGGTTAAATGGATGTGTTACATCTTCCTCGCTCTCGTCCTCCCGGGGTTCATTCACTCGCGATCGAGCAACCTCTTCTTCTTCTTCTTCTTCTTCTTCTCCCCCTCCTTTTTCCTCGGCTTCTTGTTCCCGCTCCATCCTCTTCCACCGAGGTGCACGCGCTCCTTATGTCAGCCGCAGGCGAAGCTCGCGAAACGCGGCTACGAGAAATTCTTCCACTGTAACTCGTGCGTGCACGCGCGCCTCTTGCTTGCTCCTCGACGGTGAAAACGATACAAATCGACGCCTCGGAGAGAATTTCCGGAGACGCGAATTCGATCCTCCTGTGGTTATCATGAATCGTCCGTGACGTCGCAGATAGACATTCCTACATCTTTGCTTAAGTTTTACGAGATAGTTTTGTTGCATAGTTTATTTTTTTTTTTTTTTTGGATGCCTCGCAACAGGTCTCTCTCTCTCTCTCTTTCTCTCTTGATTTTATTCGGACGAGGAGCGATCGAAGGACTTTCGTTTGATTTAGACGCGAGCACGCTCCTTCTTCTTGCGAATTAAACCGAATCGAATGGGTTTCGGTATTTAGTTTCTTATTTGCTGTTTTATCGTGCCGACTGTGCCGCGGTAAATTGTTGCCTGATCGCGCTAATAGGAACCGTACGAACGGGTTAATGTTCCTTTTCGATTAATCCAGATTAAAATCGATCCGCTTGGATTTTCATTTAACTTCGATTCGATTTGATGATTCTTATTTATTATCGAAGCTGACTTTAAATCCTACGAAACTTTAACTTTTCCAATTAATTGTTTTTTTTCTTTTCTTTCTCTTGCGATACGCGAATTCGAATCGTATATGAAAAAATGAAATTTGAAATTTGGTATAAATCTATCCTCCAATTGTCACAATGTATTTCTTCGTTATATTATAACGATTCGAGGGAAAATTGAAAATTTCAATTAAGAAAATTTATCTTCCTGATTCCAAGTTGACGTGTTCCTCGCTTAATAGTCTGTGAGAGTGGCTATTAGATCAACTATTAGACTGTCAGACGCGTGAAAGACGCGCGTGTTCGGTTTAATCGGCGACGAGATATCCCACTTATCCCCTCGATCGATCGACGAAAGACGAAGCCAAGGATTGGCGAGATGATGCACGAATCTCTCGGAGGCGAGCTCGTTATTTCAAGGAAATCGGGTCACCCATTGACATTCCGGGCGGGGAGCAAGTGCGCCTCTCGCACAATCGCGGTTTCACACTTTGTTCGAGACCTGGTCGGGATTAAGGCCAATGTGGCGATGCGTTATGTAACGAAGATGAACCAGATGCCTCGAGTGACACGACATGAATATAGGTCTAGGGGAACGAATGCGTGCCAAACTCCTCTGTTCCGAGACAAATCGTTTGTAACTCGTTGTCCGTGAAAAAAAAAAATAATTTAACGCGTAGAAAAGTATCCGAATTGCGCGACGAGCATATTTAATTTCCGCGTGAAAGGGGAAAGAATTGATTTTAAAAGCGGATTTTTAAGAGAAATCGAATTTGCATTCGATCGATATATATATAGGACACGGTTACTTCTCTTCTTTCTTGCAAATCATTCGATTTTATCGCGGATGAAAATGAAACTTGCGACGGATAAAAACTTGCGATTATCGGTATTTTTAATGATAAACATACAATACGTTCTTTTATTATCAAAACGCTTAGAAATCCGAATAATAAATAGATCTTATCGTAAAACCGTATCGAACTCTTCAGCGATCGATATCTCGTTTCCCATCCGTTGTTGTCGATATTTCAACGATATTATCGAATTGTCGATATTTATCAAATCACGATATCGATAGTCGCAAGTGGTCGGTTGTGAACCAGATCCGCGATCGGAGATCAACCGGGCATCCAAGGTTAAAGAACACGGTTAACAAACCGTTAACACGATCGTTGGAGCACAAAAGGCCGCGCGACCATTTATACTCCGTTTAAACGGCGATCTCGATTTAACACCGAAGGGAAAGTGGTGAAACCGAACGTGAAGCGAGTCGATCGACTTTCCGGCGTATCGTTCGCCACCCATTAAAACCCGAGAAACGTAAAGGAGAGCCGTGCACGTTAATTTTCTGGCCGGCCTGTTGTGCAGCAGTTTGCATTTAACGACCCCGATATAACCGACGATTCTATTACCGAAAAAAAATATAAAAAGGCCGAAATAAACAAGCCGAACCGTGAAAGGCAACGATGGAATTTTAACGAGGTTTAACGTAACCTTATCGTGACGAATCTTCCGATTTTTTTTTCCATTAAGAAATTTGCACGCGTTAATCATACATGGAAATTCGCCGTGTTTCATCGTTACCGGTCGAAGGAAAAGAAAAAAAAAGAGAGAAGAAAAAAAGAGAGGAAAGAAACGAGAAAATGCTCACGTTCCACGATCAAAGTATCATTATGCTAATAAAACGATACCGATTGCGTTGAACGCGATTTAATTACGCGTGTATCGTGTCTCCTCGAAAATTACGCGATATAAATGCGTTTCACGATACTTTTCCTCGATCGATCGATCGATCGATCCGCGCAACAGGAGGCTTCGAGTCCTCCGTTTCCGGTTTACCGCGGAGGAGTAAGAAGAACGAGAGAACTGGGAGACGTTTCGAATAACTGGACTCGTTTCAATCGTGGCTACTTACTATACGTGTTACGCGTAACTAATTTCCTTATTATGGTTACTGTTATTTAATCGAGGCCCCTGCGCTCATGGGAAGACCGCATTCTATGCATCCTAGATACGAGGTGAATACCGATCCGTATTTTTTTTTCTTTTTTTCTGTTTTTTTTTTTCTTTTCGTTTCTTCGTGGTAAATCCATCGAGATGTAGTGGTGGAGATATAACAGTATCGAGGAGTTATTGTGTTGATATCGCGATAAATATAACGAAGATGGATAGATTCACTATCATCTATTAATTTCTTGGATTTTTTTTCTGGAAAAAGTGGAATGAGTGAAATTAAAATCTTCGATGGATTTTCATATCGAAGATATTTATTTATATAATAATCTGTTTCTTCGCTCTGTGATAGCAAGTTAGTTGATTTTGACATAATTCTTCAATAATCTTTTCACGCGTGAAACAGATAATTACGTTTTTTCGAATACGATCAATGCGTTTTCCTTGAGATTTATGATTTTGATAAATTTAATATTTATTTGATTAGATCGAGATGTTGATTAGATCGGGACGTAACGTTGTTTTTTGAATGAAAATACGTTGATTTTTAGATCAATTAGGATATTTTAAACGGACGGAATCGAATAAGAAACTGAACAACTTTTAACCGATATAGCGAGTCGTGGTGCTAATTGATTCACCGAGCCTCGACCAATTTCTCAGTGGACCAAATTAACACACTCTACTGCCTCCTGCTTAGCAAGTCTAAAGCGCACATTTGTTCCACGAACCTGACGCAAAGTTCTACATCTCGAGGACATGAAATCGTCTACTTTCGTTCATTTCATTCGAACCCATTAGTCGATCCGCGTAAACCTCGTAAATCTATATCTATCTATGAAATATATAGTCCAACACTTTATTCTCATTAACCAATACATAATTCTTCGTGAAATGCTCTATCATTAAAGAAATATCGTTGAAAAACCTTAACAACCAATAAAAATTTAAATATAATCGAAGATTTTATTCTCACAACTAGTAGATTTCTTCATGAATTCTAACATCTTGGATCATTGTTCCACAGCATTATCTAAAAGTCTACTATATAAATAATCATTAAAAAAATATCGTTGAAATTGATTGAAACAAAATTTGATTCGATAATTCCTACAATGATTCTTAAACAACCAATAAAAATTTAAATATAATCGAAGATTTTATTCTCACAACTAGTAGATTTCTTCATTCTAGCATCTTAAATCATTGTTCCACAGTATTATCTAAAAGTCTACTATATAAATAATCATTAAAAAAATATCGTTGAAATTGATTGAAACAAAACTTGATTCGATAATTCCTACAATGATTCTTAAACAACCAATAAAAATTTAAATTTAATCGAAGATTTTATTCTCACTAACCAGTAAATTTCTTCGTGAATTCTAGCATCTTAGATCATTATTCCACACACACGTCTAAAAGTCTATTATATAAATAATCATTAAAAAAAATTATTGAAATTGATTCGCAACTAAATTCAACTCCTACAACGTTCCTACAACGATTCTACTTCAAGTTCTTCCTCGAGCAACCAATAAAAATATAAATTATAAAAATATAAATCGACAATTTCATTCTCATTAACCGATATATAATTCTTCGTGCTCTAATATTTTCCTAGATTATTAAAAACTCGAGATAATTATTCCACAGCATTGCCAAAATTCTACTCTACTAAAAAATCATTAAAAAAATAATTGAAATCGATTTGCAACGCGCTAGACTCGATTCCGTCGTTCCTACAACGATTCTACTTCAGGCGTCCTCGAGCGATCGATTCGTTCTGGATACAATGCAAAAGGTTAGACGACAAAAGGCGTTACGAAAAATTTCTTACCAAGGCGGATAAACACCCCGTGGCGATGCGCCGCCGGCTCTGATCTGCTCGTTGACGTAACCACTTCTTGGCACGTTCAACGCGGACCTGATGCCCACGCTGGATCCGTCCAACGTTCCCGGCCCCGGTTTCGGGACGTGGCTGCTACAGTACACCTCCTTATCGTTGATCGTGTGCTGGTTGTTGTAGTAGGTCTTCAGGGTCAGCTTGGTGCCGCATATAGCGCACTTGAAGCAGCCCGCGTGAAAGAACGTGAAATCCTTCAATGGGCCAACCCTGTCCACCTGGTACACGGTCTGAGAACACCTCAGACACGTGCTCTCGTAAAAGTTCGGCCGATACATCGTCCTCCTCCTCGATCAGGATCCTCCCTGTTTAACTTCCGTTTCTCTTGTGCTCGCTTCTTCTTGCTCTCTTCCCTCAACTGCGCCTCGATGTGGAAGACACTGAGTGCGCCCTTGACAGAAGAAAAGGAAGAGTGTTAGTAAGATTATCTTGCGATTATTATTGTGCATGATTTGAAAAGTCGTGTGAAATAAGGATTGAAATCATTTGATGCATCTTGAAAATAAGTGCTAATTTAATTATTTTAATTGATGCACGTACGTAATTTTTGGGATTTCTATAATTCCGGAAAAAGATTTACAATTTAAAGTATAGTTTTGTACGTAGTTGATTTTATTAAATAACTGAAAGGAAGTAAAAAAAATATTCTAAAAAAAAGTATTATGAATTTATTTTATTTTACTCGTTAGTTTTCAATCGACAATGATTTTTCAATGATCCAGCTTTATCCGCGATTAAAATACTATCTAAAAAAATACGACAAGAAAATTAAAAAAAATCTTCGAAAAATGGAAGCAAAAGTAGAATAATATAATTATAAGCGCAACATTTATTCATATCTTTCCACGACAAAGTAAAGGAAGAAAGAGCGTTTCATAAGTTCGAAGATATAACCAGTTAAAACGCGAGCCTTAATTGGCGGTAATTACGGCGATGCAAAACGCGTGCACGCGAATCAGACCGCGGCGGTTTCTTAATAATTATCCCTCCAGGATGTTTGAACAAAAGAAGGAAAGGAAAAAAGAACGAAAAAAGAAAAAAAAAAAGAAGCCAGTACGAGAAGTAAAAAACAAACGAAGAAAACGACAGATACCATCTCGATCGGAAAGGATAAACTTGTAAACACGTCAAAGTGTTTATTAAGAATAACCGCATCGCCTAACACTTTCCTACTTCGCTTTTGCAACAAGTCGTTGCCAATACTTTTCATAGTGGGCGACCAGCGAGCGGATAATTGCAACAGATTTCACGAAGCTCGTTGGATACTGGATTGCCAATATAGGGATTTTCACACGTGCGAACGAAAATATATACGTCCTCGTTAATGCCTCGTTCGATAACCGGTTATCCATCGAGGAATGGAAATCGATATTTTTTCATTCCATCCGTTTACAGCGTACTCAATATGCTACTATACCGGTGAAAAAGCCAGGATACAATGGAGACACTGTATTAATGATGGGTATGACACCAATTTTTGAATACGCGTCATTAGAAATAATATAATGAATTTATTACAAAATTTAAATGTACAAAAATTTCCAGGATAATTCAACATTCGTGAAAAAAACTAAGATTACAATATTTCGTATCGCTATTATATATTACGATACTTGAAATAAATCTTTATTTCGATTATTCCATAATTTTCCATTTCTCAAATTTTTTTAATAAAAGAGTTGAACGACTACACCACTGTACAGTCGCTCGCATTCGTATTGATATGGATACAGTGTTTCCAACGATGGTCCCCCTCCCCACTTTATGACAAGTTGGAGCTTCGAGAAGGAATTACATAATCGAGTCACGAACATGAGAGAAAAAAGGAAAAAGAAAAAAAAGAATGTACATCTTCGAATCTTCGCGCGTCCTATTGGAAACTTTTTAAATGAACCGCGTCCGATCTTTTCTAAAATTATTGCCTCGGTTTCACCGGTTATTCGCCGTAATCGGCCGAGGTTTCCCTTTTCTTTATAAGAATCCTCGTAACGTACCTACGAATTCCCTCCATAGCGAGCGACCACAATGGCGGTTACGTCATACCGTTAGCGACCATGCACAACAATACCGTAATAAACGCAGGATAGTATACGTCTCACGCATCAACGAATACAGACTTTCCGCTCGTCACGACACGCACTGATTCATTTTTTCAAGCGGCGCGGATCGAGAACGGGGCGAAAATCCGCGGCGGAGAGAAGATGGACACGTTTCGAAAGTTTTCTCGTGTTGCGGACACGGTCGGCCGTTTGGAGAATTTTTATTTTCGCGAAACCGATCATTCAAACCGGTCGATGCGGCGAGGGTTTATCAACGGTTTATCCTAGCGTGCAAACCATACGATTCTTTGTGCCGCTCGGCCGTGGAGAAGTTCGAAAATATATAGAGGAATCGTTTCCTGAACAATGGAGTATTATCGATCGAGCAGGTAAAAAAATAACTGAAACGTTGTCAACGTTATCTGTCGATCTGTTTTGATTCGGTGTATGATCTACCTTGAATAACTCGAGTAAGTGGATCGAAGATGAAGGAATCTTCGATAAAAGTTACGATTTGTCTTTTGTCCTCGATTGTGAACAAAATAAAAAGAGATGAAAAGATTATCGATTATTCATACAACGCTGATCGCGAATAATCGCGATGAGATCGCGTATCGTCGAATGAAGGTTAATAAGAATTAGAAAGGATTCGAATAAATTCTTTTTCGTATTTTTGTATTAACGTGAACTTTCCGAACTTTCGAAATTTAACCGAGAAGATCGTTTGCTCGCACGATATTCACCGATTTAAGAGAGAAACGGGCTCGATCGATTCGTGACCCACGGCGTACCGGTAGTCGTAAACGTTTACGGACGCTCGTAAACCGCACCTGCATCCAGTATTTCATTTTTCTACGTTCCCCTCTTCTTCTTCGTGTCGTTTGAATATAAAAATATCCTTATTTTTTTCACCATTGGCTAATTGGCAAAGAGTCTGTCGCGTCAGAGAACATATTAGACCGATTTCCGATTTCGTCCATTTCAATCGCGCTACGCGTATTATGCAATATAAGAGGAAATAATAACACGGTGCATCGTGAAAACACTTCCGATCGCGATCGCTTTTCATTCGTTACTCGTACAAATGTGCGAATATTCATATCATTTTATAAAATATAATATTATCAACGATATCGACGCGAGTATTCGAATAATTTCTGGTAAAAGTTTGGTACAAACTGTAAGGAACTAATGAAAATTGATGATTAAAAGCAATATTTATTACCTTGTTGACGAAGTGAATGTCAATTTTAAATTTAAATTAGATATCTATTAGAGAGCTAATAGCGCAGCTCGTAATTGAGTACGCGATTTATCGATTTATACGTTATTTATAATTAAATCGTCGAGGAAATAAATATCAAATATTAAATACATGAACTTTTCTTCCGCTTGTCGACAAATTCTCTCGTATTTTCATCAAAAATCAAAGTCAATAATAATAATAATAACGTATATAACGATACAGCCAGATCGATAAATAACTTTAATCTAAATAAAAATCGATATCCCTTCGAAAATCAAAATCCACGCGTCTCTCTCTCTCTCTCTCTCTCTCTCTCTCTCTCTCTCTCTCTCTCTCTCTCTCTACAGAATCTCTTCCATTATCCGATTGAACGATCTTAAATTAAACCAAGCGACGAAAACAATTTTTCAGCTTCTAGCGAGGCCAGCATCCACTGAAAATTCGTGACATCGAGAAAATTATTTATTACATTCCACGCGTCGTTTATCACTCGATAATACCCGCTTGAATACCCGCTTGTCCCCATTCTGGCCCACCTTCTCCTAGGTATTTACGCTCGACACGCACGCATACGTGCCCATGTGCAACGACACACGCGCGATCTCGCGTATCCCGCGTATACGCGCGCATGAACACACTCTTATGCGCCGCATAACTTCGTTTAACGTTAGAAAAGAAACCGAGAAACTTTATCGAGACGAATCGTACCCTGACACGATGTGTACCAACTCGTATTCGTAGCGTTACGCGCTCTTTTTCGCGCGGACACGCGCGTACAATCACGGATTAACGGCATCGACGTTGGAAACACGGGCGTGTTCCCGTGTTTGCGACAGTTCGTCCATCTAGTTACTTAACGCGCGAAAGTAGCGGGTGAATAGCGGACATTCCATGGAGCGGGCACATCGAGGGGGGGGCCCGGTACACGTTACACCACGCTCTATCTTCATCTTCGTCCCACCTCGATCTCACTCGAACGATTTCACCGGAGAACACCGGAGAGAATCGGCGCATCAGATTTGTCGAACACGTGTATCGCGCGTGTGATTACACGAATGAGAGATAATCGAATCGCGCCTAACGCACCGACGATTACCAATAAATCAATGTATAATGTAATAATCAACGTATCACGCGAGAAAGATGAATATTGCATCGCTCCAAGTTCGAACTCGGAGTGATTGGATCGGCAAGACAATTGGAGCAACGAATAGTGAAAAGAAAGAAAAAAAGAAAAAAAGGTTTCGAGCGGGCAAGGCCAGTCCTCCCTCCTTCTCCCCTTCCATCGACAAGAATATTATATTATAGATAGCCCATACTCACGTTCTCATGCTTCCATGTCCACCAGCTTGGTCCACGAGAAACCTCGACGCTCGTCCCGATGCAGCTCGAGGAACATCTCTCTCCACCGATTTACTTTTCTACGCTACGCCTATTATCAGGGATCAAAGACACTTGGAAAATAATCGCGCACGATATCACGCCACGGGCATCCGTCGTCCTCCGCTCGTCGCGCCCGTACCAAGCATTGAAATCACCAGGTGCCGATGATCACCTCGTGTCCGCGCGCGCACCGTGTCTTCCGCCGAACGAACGAACGAACGAACGAACGGACAAAGAGGAAGAAATTCCAGGAACCAGATCCACCTGGCAGGTAGCCGCGACGTATCCTTGCTTCACGGATATCTAACCGAGTGAAACCGAGGCGATGAAAGGCGAGGATCGACGCTGGTCGTGAACGACGGCTGGTCTCGTCGATGGAATCGTTTGCGATGCACAATTGCGCCGCCCGTTCCAACGTATCGAGCTTGACGCGTGGTCGCGTACGAACGTTTTCTGGCACGGTTTTCGTGTGTCCGCCACCTGGAATGAGGTCTCGCCACCAACCGAGGCGGCCACGCGAGAGGTCGAACCTGAATATCGCCACCTGCTTCCTTCGACGTTCCAGGAAGATCTGAGGTGAGAGGGACGGCCATTTTGAGGGACCGTAGTGGCTCTCAGGTGGCGCTATGGTTGGAGAACCGTCGCTGTGCCGGAGTGGGTATCACACTCTTTCACGTGCGCTCACCTGGCGAGGTTCTGTCTTTGTCACCTGTGACGATGCACGCATATGATTGTCGAGACGTTGCGTCGATAGAAATCTTTTATATGTACATATGTATCTGTATATATTTTTCTTGATTTGTTACGCTTTTTATTTTTCTTTTTTCTATTTATTTGTTTATTTTTTTTTTTTTTTTCCTTTTTAAATCATTCTTTTTAGTGGATTGATTTTTGAACAGGACCAGATTTCTCACTTGGACTCACTTGGAACGCGGTCCCAATTCACTACTTTCATTCGAGAGACTGATCGATACGCGATGGGAAAAAAAGAAAGCGGAGAACCAGTCTCTTTACAGAGATTGGTGGCCACCGTTTTAGGATACATTCTTCGTGATCACTTTTATAAACGTTACTAAGAATCCGTGTCCGCGACGTGTCGCGCGTCGTACGATTTATTGCGACTTTAATGTTTAATTACCGGTGACGCGAAATCGAGATTCTTCTGTGCTCGAGGAACGTTATTTTTTGCCTACTTCTTTACGGCCAACTTTCACTGACGCATTGGGAACACGGCCTGTTGGAATGTTAAACTTGAGTCGAGTAACGACTGTTAATCTCTCGACGACAATGGGTGGATTGCGCGCTGTCGACAGGTGTGTCACCGATCAAACAATGCTACTCGCCATACTATAGGATATACTCGACAAACGAATTAAGCTTTGTTCGAATAATACGAGGAAGTGTATAAAGATAAAACGATTCTTAAGAAATGCGATCGTCTCGATTGTTCTTCATTCGAATCTACCATTTCGAATCTTTAATCGCTCCTCAAAAAGAAAAAAAAAAAACGAATCCTCGATCGTTCAATCTTAACTTTTTCGTTCCACCTTAAATTTGCCAAATCTTTAATTGCTTTCCCTTCCTTGTTTCCCGTGAGAAACGAAGGTTATACTCCGTATAAAAAGTTCCAAAGTTAATGAATCTCTTACAGTCATAAAGGTGAATCATTAAACTTCCATTAACCAATTCCGACGATCGTTTATGGCCGTCGTTTTCACCTGGCCATCTCGATATCTCGAATGAGATCATTTGGGAGATCAAGTGGGAGGACGTTCATAGACGTGGATATGTTTCTCGTCTGAATGAGAAGCGGAATGTATGGCGAGCAGTGAATGGCGGATTCGATAAATTGTTTAAACGAATTGTTAAAGGCGAGATCTCTGTTTGTTGGCGTGGCTCGGGTGCCAAAGTGACGTGGCGAGATTGCGAGCGGTCTCGATTCGGTAAATCGCTCGGTAGACCCGTTTCTTACGGGTTCTTGCGGATTAAAATGAGGGAAGGAGAAAGAAAAAAGAAGAAGAAGAAGGGAAAAAAAGGAATGGAGGAGGGCGATGGAAATGGAGATAGAGAGGATGAAAAGCTTTCGCGTGAAGCGGAACGTTTCAAAGCCCACGCGAGTTTCGAACAGTTTCTACGCATGTGGGAAGTAAACGATGATGCAATCGTGGATATAATATAGATGCAAATTTCAGTCGGTTAACATGTGATTACACTTTACTGTATTTAGTTTTTACGAGTGTGTTTTAACTCGAGTGTGTCATTCTTTGCGCTTGTTTGCGAGAAAAAGAATCGTCATAGTTGAATCGTAGAAATTTTTAAATTCCCTCGATTACCTTTATGTAAAGAGTGCTTCTTTTGTCCTTTTCTTTTAAAAAATATTTCTTTTCGCGAGCGAAAAATAGTTTGTGGATTATTTAAATTTTTCATCTTTTTGCAAGGAAACCGACATCGAGTTGCATATAAAATTCAAACATCGTTTCGAGAACTTTGTATTTATGTGGATAACGCGCGATATCAATATTCAATTCAAACGCGTTCCGCTTCTTGTAATTATATCATTGTTTTGCAAGTAAGATTGCATTATTGTTGTCGGACAAACAATGGACAGAATTTACTGGTGCATTTATTGCTGCAAATGAACGAAGGGAATTTTCTTTCATTGATTCATTATGAATATTGCGAATGGTTTATAAGTTGCAACAAAGTAACAGAATCAATTTACAAGCATAATCACTCTTAATACGGGAAACGAAAAATGCAATTAACGAAACGGCGTTTCAATGTAGATTCAAATTTATCAGTCGTTATAAATTTTTCGTTAATTTTCATGAATCAACATCGCAAAATTGTTTAAATAATATAAAATTCATTTTATATATTTTTCGACCATCGATATCCATCTGATTCTTATTACATCAATCAAATAAAATAAAATACAATCTACAATTGAATCAACAAACTTTAACGACTTTTCATTACTCATATATCCGTTTTATGAAATCATACTATTTATTCTAACACCGTGTACGAAGTATCACTCATAAAACTTTCTACTCATAAAATATGACGTATCATTTAAAACGAAGAATTATGCAAAAACGAAAAAGTTATAAATTAACCTCAATACCAAATAAGGACAAAAAACATTTCCCTCGTTCCACTCAAAAAAAAAGAAAATTTCTGCCCATGAAATATCGCGGTCACGAGAAGAATCAACATTCCTCCCCTCTACAACGCGTCTCTCTAAACGATTCTCCTTTTTTCTTGAACAAAAATAAAAAGAAAAAATCATCCACGAAAAACATTATCCAAGACGATTAAAACGAAAAAACACGAGCACAATACCAACCAACGAGAGAATCGAACAACTATCCCTTTACCCCTTCTCCTCGTTCCTATCTTCGAAGAAGAAAAAATAAAAAAAGAAGAAAGAATTTCTGCCCCAATTTCGTCCCGAGTTCTCGTCGTCACGGAATCTCGTCGCGGCCACGGGAGGAAGAGGATCAAGATCCTCCTCTTCCCGTACAATGTCTCCGTAAAGAACGCGGGGACAGGGCGTACCGTTCGCCCGTTTGCTCGAGGCGAGTGCCAGCTCTCTAAACGTTTCTAAACGCGCGCGGCGTCGCGATATATTTACGCGAACGGGGAGACTTCGGTAGATCGGTGGCAACGATCCAGCAGCCGTGTTACGGAAATAGATTTCGGCTGGTGGCGATGCAACCAAGCTCTCCTTGCGGACGGGCGGTCGGAGGCAGCCAGTACCGTGACGACCAGTTCCCGAGGAAAACCGGAGAAATCGACTCCGCGAGGTCCCACATGAATGTGAGTGCGATCTTCCCTTTCACGAGTGCCATTATCCGCCGCGCGTCACACACCCCCTCCCCTCCCCAGCCTCCCCCCCCGGATCCAGATGCGCGTCCTTTGTTCTCTTCCATCCGCTCTCCGTCCTCTTGTGCATCGATAACACACGGTGCGTCGATCTGGAAAAAGTTTCCACGCTTCTTCCTCTCTCTCCCTCGCGCGCGAGTGAAAATGGAAAATGCTTTTTCTTCTTATTTCTCTTTTTTTTCTTCTCCATCTTTTTCACCGGGTGTTGATGATATTTGTGGTTACGTTTCGAGAGGTTCGAAAAATTGGTGTAGAAAAAAAATATCGGATCGAGGCTTGCTCGTTGAGCTTCAGAGGTTTAAATTCGCGTTGGATAAAGACGTAGATAGAATGACGGGGAGGGAGAGAGAGAGAGAGAGAGAGAGAGAGAGAGCGATCTCTTCCCATCTCGCTTCGTCTAATTGATTATTTAAGTAATTATTTTGTATATCAATTTTTGCGTTTGAATCTGTAGAATACATTTCGATTGTAATTCTTATAAATTTTGATTAGATAGAAGTGTTGAAAGTGTTCGATACTATTTCTCGAGTAATAAAATCGAACGTAGAAAAGAAGATTCGAAACGTTTCTACTACGTGTTCAACTCGATTCTATCACGTGTTATCTAAAAAAAATCCTGCGAGTTGCATAAAGACGCAAAGCAGGGATCTCGAACGAAGCGAAAGGCAGCCGGAATCGACGAGAACATCCCATCCGGCAAATTTCACCGGTTTTACTTTCGCGAGGTGAAACGGAAGTGCATCAACGAGTAAGACGCACAAACGATGCGAATCTTCGTGTTCTATACACCGCGGAAGAGAGGATGTTCCACACTCGTGCGGAAGTTTCCTTTTTTCTTTTTTTTTTTTCTCCTCCTCTCCTTGTTGGTGCAATCCTTGCTGGAAACCGGAAACCGAGAACCGGATTGTTTACTTGAAGAAGACACGCGATGCTGGCCAAGCTTTTGCAAATGTGCACGGACTCGATGACATTATCGCGGCGAAAGCATCTCTCAGGATATTCCTTTTGCTTCCTCGCAAAAGGAAAACGGACGTAACATTCTAATTCGAGATTTTTGCTCGATTATTCACAGATCCACTCGTAATTGTGACACGCGTTTTGTTCGACGAAACGAATTATCGATTCCAATCCCCGATTGAACGTGGATGAGATTTTGAAATTTTTTTTTTGTTCGAACGATCGTGTTGAATTATTCGAAATATAAATCGGAGCCGATGTTTTGAACCGTTATCGGGAAGATAATAAAGATCCGCGGATGGGATATTATTACGTAGTTAGAAAAATGTTTGGAGAAGAAACTCGAGTGGGCGGGGAGAAGCTAGAGGTTGGAAGATATCCAACTCTTGTAGACTTTTGCAATTTTGTCGGGAAATAGAGTTCCACGTTTGCTTTTTATCGGGGCGATTCTCGCCTTAAAATTAACTCGTCGGGTTTGTTGACTGGAATTTATATTTTCCTAGATTTCATATTTTTATCCATATCTTTCTCCGAAGATAATTATATAAATATGATACTTTTTGCATTGATCCACGTTTGTAAGAAATTATTACACTTGTATAATTATCTTATTGATATACTATATTATTTATAATTTTGTCTACGAAAATGACGAGGACTGGTCGCGATGATCGTGGGGGGATCTAAATTTACAATTCTTGGAAATCGGCTACTTTATTGCTCTTATACTAGACAGAATCGCCGCATAGAACAAAAGAGTATGAACAGTCGGGAAGAACAGAAGGGGTAAACGTTCTAAAGATACGTAGGGCTCTAATTCGAGGATCTAATTCATGCATGTGGAACTCATGTGCCGCCGCAACGGCTGGAACTTTCACATCGCTCTTCTTCCGCTAACAAGAATCACCGATGATGTTCCCTCGAAATGCAGCTCGAAATTGATCGATTTTTTCTTTCCTTCTTTTCATTTATAAACAAACGAAGCACGCTTCCTCTTCGAAGAAGAAAAAAAAAAGAAAGAAAAATCTGAATCAACTTTCGACGAAACGAATGAATGAATTTGTAAAAAGAATCGTAATGCGATATTTATATTTTCTTCGTAACCGTGTCAAACCGAGGAGATATATGTGACCGCTCGATTTTATTTCGAGACACGATTTTTCCCCCGCAGAGATAGATAGATTCGATTTCAGCCCGTTCCGGCGTGGTATCGACCGGCTTGACGGTGTGACGTCACGTTTTCCTCGATGATCCACTCAGAGAAAAATCCTCTCGTCTAGCCGAAGTCACCGCTCAGACGCCCAGCCCAAGGTGCGATGACACGAATACCCCGTATCGTTTGGCAGCTGAACGAGAGTTAACAACGCTGCCAGCTTGTCACCTCGATTCGTGACCGCGCGCAAAAATGTACCGGTAGCGATAAACAACCGGGAAGATTTATCTCGTCGCTTCGCTCTGCCTTATTATAATTCGCGTCTCCTTCTTTGATTTCAAAATCAAAAAAAATAATATTTCTTTCTTCGCAGAACCCGGGAGCTGAAAAATGGCGTCCTATGGCCATCTCGAACCCATCGACTCGGTTGCGCATGGCAAGGTCCATGCCCCACTGGGTACTGGTACGTAGATCCTTTCCTTCTCCGATTCTACCAAATTCTGAGTACGAAAATATTTCGTAAAGGCGCAACAACAGAAGGAGATGGATCAGAAGCAGCAACGCCGACCACCGACCCCACCCAAAGTACCGCCACCGTCGCTCTCCGGAGACTGTGGTGACCCGGACTACGAGATCATCGAATTTCCGACCCGACCGCAAGCGCAGAAATCCTCAAATCAGACACCGGCCGCGAACAAGTGCGCCCTATGCGGGGCCGAGAACGTGTACGCCCGTTGCGACACGTGCAACGGCAATTACTGCGAGGCCTGCGACGACATGAACCACAAACATCCGAAAAGGAAGAGCCACGTGCGAAGAAGAATCGTGACCGGAACGGCCGCGAAAACGCGGCCACCCTTGCCGCCGAAAGGGGAGAATTTGTCCAGCCCGCCGCCCGTACCGCCACCTAGGCGGAACCGCAAGAACGCTCAGGTAGGATGCAATCTGGCCTGAAGCTTTCATCCCTCCCCGTCAATTTTCTTGCAGGCTGACGACCCCTTAGGTGTTAGGACTCCCCCCGTGCCCCCTTTCGAGATCCAGAGAGATCTGTTCAGGGATTGCCCGACAACATCGGGATATCATCGGGATCAACGGAAACCAAGTTGCGAGGATCGTGAACCGTGCCTATTCTTTGGTCATTGTTCCCGCAATCGCGTTGCTCCTCTCCCTTTTCCTCGCTTCATTTCCTGTAGTTAGTATTCGTTTCGAACTAATATTATTCCTGGAAATTGTTCACGTTTTCGAACAATTTGTAACATTGTAACGCGGTCGCAACTTCGTCTCCGATGATTCGAAAATTCGAATTTTTCTTCTCGATTAATATTTTTTGTTATATATATACGGGAGTATGAATGTTGTTGCTTGTTGTTGTTGTTACACGTTGTTATTACACCACGAATTAGATTATTTTGATTTTTATAAAAGAGAAAGTCTCACACCGAGGCAACGTGAAGATTGTTAATCGCGCCCCGCTTAAAGCCGAGCTTTAAAATTAGTCTATAAGATGTTGTTGTTCTTCAATTGGAGAGGGAGAGATTTTATAGAGATTTTATCCATTGTATATTGACGTTGTTTCTTCTTAATACACCACGTTACCGCAAAAACACTACTGCCGTATTCACTGAACCCGTTCACTCTTTCACTCTGTCTGATAAAAGTAACGGCGGGAAAAAAGAAAAACGGAAAAAAAAAAAAAAGACAAATCTCGCGCAGATTCGTGCGTGCCTTCTCCTCGAAACTCGGTGAAGCACGAATTGGTGAATATGGCAGAGCACGGTGAACAACGGTGATTCGATCACGCACCGTTTCGCATTTCCCGTATCCGTTACTGCTATTATCATTATATATATATATAAAATTTTTGTCCACTAAACATGCGCACACAGTTCATCATTTTTCAGCTTACAGCAACGCAGTCGTGCCTTATTTTGATCGATCGATCAAAGTTTCAATAATTCACACGTCACTTTTATTTTAAGTTTGCAACCAGTGCTCTCGAGTCAAGACGAGTCAAGAACACCATCGATTTTATTTTATTCTCCACTAACGCTTTGTTTATCATCGATTTAGCCTCGCCGCAATTTAATTTTAGCGCCTCTGTCTTCAACCATCGCGAGCACGCGCCATCTTTTTATTTGTCTCGGGTATTTTTTTTTTTTCTTTTTTTCTCTCTCTTTCCTCCATCCACGATAAAAAAGAAAGAGCGAAACATTTCTCCACGAAGAAAACACGAACAACGTTCCCAAACGATGGCAAGAGCGATGTAATAAAGTTCAGGTTTCGCGCTTAGGCTAAATCGACGCAAAACCAGGGATCGACGAATCTCTTGATCGAGAGAGTTGGCAGTTTGAAGCGGACACTTCCAAACACGACCAGACCCCTGTCAGCCACGTTAGATACGAAAACCGTGTCGAAATCCATGCAATCTATGAATATCACTACCGATGGAGCAGGATCGAGCACCGACAAAATGTCCACTTTACAGGTAAGCATTTCGTACGATCGATGAACATTTTACACGTTCTTTAAGTCAAACTCGATTAATTATTCATCGAATACACGATTTACTATATATCATATCGTAAAATTATCGAACAATTCGAAGAGTTTCTACTATTCATCGTGAATGACGAGGATGGATAATCGATAGTTTAAACGTTCACCGTGTCCTCGTTCGTTGAAATATACCATTTCACGAAGATGGCCTTCGATATCGACACGCTATAGAATAGGAAACGAATGTGTAAAATGAAGGATAGATAGAGAGAGAGAGAGAGAGAGAGATGCGAATTGTTTAACATACGTATGAACGTTTAGGAGAGGTATAGGAAATACCAGGAGGCGATGAGAGCGCAGGATGCGAACAGAAGGAGGCACACTTCTTCCGACATTTCGAGAGACGCGGTGAGCGCAAGGCCGTTGAGTGTGACCAGTCCGAAACTCGCACCTCCGATACCACCACCTCCCCCGCCCAGATCCATGATGCAATCGGCCAGCGTTTGCGATTTATCGTCGCCTCATATGTGGAATCCTGGAATGCATCAGGTAATCGTTTAACCTTTTCATTCTTTGATATATGGAAATAAAAACTCGACGAATAATACTTATCTTGCAGGCTCAATCAATGGCCCATCTCGGTCCTGGAGGAATGCCAATAATGTGGTATCCACCGAATCCTCAATGGGACATGAGCATGGGCGGTTCGACGATGAGCCTGAACCATCCGGCTATGTGGGCCTATCCCATGGGATATCCTCCATCACAGATGCTCCCGCCGCATTATCCGGGTACCCTGTCCAGGCCTCACAGCCCGGCAAGAAGCGTGAAATCGAGCAGAAGGTCGAGAGCAGCCTCGCCGTCCCCTAGTCTGAAATCTAGAAAGTCGTTGGCCTCGAGGTCGAGATCGAGAAGATCCCAAGGCTCGCCGTCCGATGCTAGCTCCGAAGATTCCGGAGAGTCGGATTTCGATGACAGGCTCTCCAAGAGCTCGAGAGGAACCAGGCGTGGAAGCGTGTCCAGGAGCGCGAGGCAAAGGAGTTATCACGAGGATGATAGGAACTTGTTGAACAGGAATCGTCGCGAGTGAGCCTTGAATACAATATCTTGAATATAATATCTGTTGAAACTTTTAAATTTTTATATCGATTTTTAACGATTCGATATTTTTTTTTTTTTTTTTTTTTTTTCAGAAGGCTAATGTCAGAGGAAAGAGTTACCAGTACGGAGGATCAATGGTCCGAGAATCAATCGGTGAAACGGTATCCAATGTCGCCTAAGGGCTACGACGAATTCCAGAAAAACAGTCTAAATTCGCGAAGACGATACGAGCAAGATGAGCGGAGGCTTTCCAGGGTGGATTCACGATTGGATCGCGTTCAGAATGGCAGCTATCGTCGAAAACGGAGCACCGACGACGACTCGTCGGATAGAAGATCCAGCGTGCAGACACGATCCAGAGTGACCAGCTCCTCTGACGATCATTTCGAGAGATCAGAAATGATGGTTCCACGGCGAAGGGACGACGAGGTGATTCCTAGAAGAGCCTCCTCCGTGAGAAGAGACATCGTGAATTTGGACAACCTCGAAAGATCTTCTCGCAGAGATTCTCGAAGATCCTCCATAGACAGCGATACACAGATGACGAGAAAAACTCCTTCCAGAGATTCGTTCCCCAAGAAGATCCAGGGAGCGGAGGGAATCATCGATGATGCGAGATCGATTAGAGATGTCGAAGAGAACGCACCACGCGTCGCGAGTGGTCTTCCAAATCGCGAGTCCTCGCAAGATCGAAACGTGGCCACGAAGCGAGAACCTTTGTCGAGAAAACAAACTTCGCCCGAGGAGATGGAAAGATTGAGACGAGCTTCGTCCCGTGAGAACGTGAGAAGGACCCCGTCTCGAGAGGGAGTCCCTAGAAAAATTCGCGAAAGCGACGAGCCACGACCCATGAGTGGGAATCGAGAAGTTGGTCGTTTCGTTGAAACGGAGAAACGAAGCGAGGAGGGTGCAAAGAGGATGGAGAATGAACGAATTAAACGTCTGGAAAGGACGCCATCGGTAGGAAAAGAAGAAAAGGGTGGAACAACGACGAACCCGGATCAACGAAATTCGTCCAAAGACGCAAATGAAAGAAACACGACGATGGAGATCCCTAAAGAGGAATGGGCTTGCGAGCATTGCACTTTTATAAACAATATAAAGGATCGGGTGTGCGTTGTTTGTTGCAAAACTAGAAGCAGCGCGTTGCCGCCTAGCACGGAAGAGAACATGGAAGATGTTCCAAGCGATTTGAGCGAGATTCCCAAAAATGAGTCGGCCAGCAACGTCAGCAATCCCAGTCCAGATCTCGAGAAACGGATCAGCCTGTTAAAGATTTCGAACAGCGAAGAGAGCGGGGACAGTGTCTCCACAAAGAGCAAAGGTAGAGCAAGGCGAAAAATCAGCTTTTCCTTTGGTACCAAATCGAATCAGTGATTAAAATTATTGTACCTGTTGTCTTTTTGAATGTTTCTCCTCTCCTCCTCGATCCCCATTATTTCTCTGTTTCTTTGTCTCTATTTTTTTTCTTTTTTTTTTTTACGAAACCCGAAGAAAAACAGATGAACTAGAATTACACGATTGTTCCCTGTCGATGTATATCCTTGGATGAATAATAAAGAGACATGCAAATTTGTTTCGTACACGATCAGTGGAAACCAAATGCATAGTCGTATTTGAAATAAAGTTCTCTTTCATCTTTTTCATTTATTAACTTACTTTTTTCTTTTTTTTTTAATCATGTCTGATGCGATTATTATTCATTCAAATGGAGCTAGTTTCAAGCATGAGCGTGCATTTGGCTGATGTTCTTTCCATCCAAAAATCGTTGTTGAATTATTTCTTTTTTGTGAATCTTGAACACGTCGATTTTTTTTATTTTAATTTTTTTTTTTAAATACAAGTCATAAAAGAACGAAACGTGTGTACACCTTGGCCATTCGTATTTCCAAATACCGTTTGTCATTTCAAAAATACAAGAATGAAGTTTTCTATTGATTCACATCGAATCACGTGTAAAAAAAATTCCAAACTAACACACCCATATGATATGATTGTTTGAATTTACAGATATCGCGATGTTTGAAGATTCGTCGAAAGTCACGGACAAACCGATGGCTGAATCTTCTTTGAAAAATGAATCGGCATTGATAACGAACGATTCGTCGGTAACAAGCACGAAAATAAACGATGTGGAGCCAATTAAACGACCCATGCTCGGGAAAATTCCAAAAAGCCATTCGGTTTCCACTGGAACCTCCCCACCTCCTCAGAGCATTTCCACTCAAGTAAGGGAAAAACGTTCCGTTTATTTGGATTATAAAACGTTGCCACGAATAAAAAAAATATACGAAACGAGGAATGTACGATATATATGCTTTTCAGACCTACGACTACCTTCCATCGAGAGGAAGTGGCGGATTCGTGAGAGCTGCATCCGCTTCAAAGGGATTATTGTATTATGAAGAGAGCGATGGAGAGGTAAAACGAAAGATTGATTACGTAGATCCGCGAAATTTTGTAATTGAAATATTTGTTGATTGTTCGAAAAGTGAATCGAGTATTCTCATTTCAAGAACGAATCCTCTAATCCTCTATAATTTTATTATCTTTCATAAGTAAGAGGACATTTTATATTTTTGATGCATTCTCTAGCTCCAATGATTATTAAAAAAGTTTTCCAAAAATTTTAATTTTCTGATTATGAAATTTTGTAATTCAAATATTTGTTGATTGTTCGAAAAGTGAATCGAGTCGAGTATTCTCATTTCAGAAACGAATCCTCTATAATTTTATTATCTTTCATAAGTAAGAGAACATTTTATATTTTTGACGCATTCTCTAGCTCCAATGATTATTAAAATTTTAATTTCCTGACTCTGAAATTTTGTAATTCAAATATTTGTTGATTGTTCGAAAAGTGAATCGAGTCGAGTATTCTCATTTCAGAAACGAATCCTCTAATCCTCTACGATCTTATTATCGTCCATAAATAACAGGATATTTTATATAATTTTGACGCATTCTCTAGCTCTAATAATTATTAAAAGTTTTCCAAAAATTTTAATTTCCTGATTCTGTCAAAGGAATTATTGTACTTACGTGAACGTGAATTCCTTTTAATAAAAAGAAGGATGCTGAGCGTTTGTTTCAGGAACAAACCGGATACGCGAACAGCCCAGATTTGTATCCACGAACGATCCAGGATCAATCATATCTCCAACAGTTGATCGGGCCCAGCAGGGATCGTACGCGAAGAAATTCCATCGACTCCACTCACCTTTATTATCGTTCCAGGGTAAACTTGACAGATATCCCTCGAGAACTGTTGGTTTCTAATCCGATCTAATCTCCTGTATAAAATTTTAACACGATTGTGGCAGTTCACCGTAGCCTCGGTGTGAACGTTTAGGCAGGTTTACATTTACAGGGGCATTTATCGTATATATGTATATATACCTGTTTCACTCCAACGAAATTCTAAAAAAATCATTCGTCGTCATTAATAAAACGATATTTTCTATTCTCAAATTTATCTGCGACTGTGTGTGATCATTAATCCAATCGAATATAAATAATTCTCGACACGTGTTGGTTAAAAATCGTTCTTAGATTAGTTCTTAAGCCTGTATAACATTTTGTTAATTATTTATAGAGAAGGTGCATCTTACGGCGATGAGACCTTTCTACGATTGTTTTAACGATTGTTATGCGTTCTGTTCCGATTCGTTTCTTTTTTTTTTTTTTATCATTTTTAATTGAACCATTTGGAATCCTCGTTCCAGGAACCGAGCCAACCCAGATACCTCGAAGCTGGACCAAGTTCACAAGGTGTTTCAACGTTGACCAGACAAGGCTTGGAGATCGTAGAGATTTTGAGGGAGGCTGAGAAACATGGTTACTCCACCGACGACGTCCAGGTGGCTTTGTCTCAGGGGGCGAGCAACCCCATCGACTGGTTGAAGACCCAATGGCCCCACTTGGTGGAAACCGTGCAAGTTCTGGTTACCACTCAAGGAAGGGAGATGAAAGAGAATAATATTGGGATGCTTTCCGGCGTGGAGGCGAAAGAGGCCTTGAGAGTTACGAAAGGGGATGTTTGGAAGGCTGTCGCGATGGCCGCTCAACGTAGACAGCTAAAAGTGAGGATTTTGAGAATAGTTTCAATAAATTGTATATAACGAGAAAATTAAAAATGATAATACGTATGATAATTTCAAAAGTGCGAGGAAATTATGAAGAAAGGGAATTTCACGATGATGGAAGTGGTGAAAGCGTTGGAAAATAACGCCGGTGCCGAGGATGCGGCTTTGTTCGAGCTGCAAAAAAATCAGCTCAAGCCGTTCTTGATGAGGATCTGGGGTCCTCCGGTTGGGGTGGAAAACGACGAGGCTGCACCGCGGGAAGGTCGGTAAATCAAATTAACAATTTTATAAAAAGCATTTAACAAAACATTGTTAAAAAAAATAAACATCTACAATTTTTAAAAACTCTAGACAAAACAAAAAAACAAAATTTTAATAATCGATGTAATATAATTTATTCGTAAGTAAGTAAAAATTCTCTACTACTCTCAGTACATTATGTATGCATTTGTACACACAATCTACATGTAAATCGCACGATTTACAAGTAAAAGTTCGCGAGTTTGTTCGCGAATACATTTACTTACTATCAAAAATTAATATGTGCATACGTCGACCAGCAATCGACTCGACATTTGTAAAATGAATATACATTTTTCATTATAATATGCGCAAATCCATTTTCTTTTAAAACGGTTGTTCGTTCACGATCATCGAGGTGGTGATGGTTTCAGATGCGGTCGGTGGTGAAACGAGCGGTTCCGAACAGATTACCCGCGTGGGTACGGACACGGAAGCCAGGAAGCAGGTAATGTCACCAATCGTAGAAAATTTCGTCGCGTTGCAGGCCGACTTTCAAAAGCAACTGGCAGCCCTCAGACAGCTAACCGATAACTGGCAACACGAAAAAGACCCCCTGAACACGCTCGGTAATAAGCCTGATAATCTGTATCAAGTTAACAATGACGATCGAACAGTTCTAATCGATAAAAATCTGGTCCCAAGGGACGCACAAGATGTAGCCAACACAGTTAAAACAATGGAGAACGAGGGATCGATGAAACGAGCGAATGAGGACGAAACTAAATTAACGATTCAAAATACACCGATCGAAAAACACGATAAAAATAATGATTCCGAGATACGAAATTTGATTGGAGAAAAACAAGTCGAAAAATTGGAGGAGGATACGAGCGATAAAACGATCAAAGACGAAATTTCTCGCGACGACAAAAATAATAATATCTCGTACGAGATCCATCAAACCGAGCCAATGATGATGATTAAAAATATTACTTCACCTATTGTAACCGAAGACCACGATAAAAGCATTAATAATCCTACGATGAGTTTAATTGAAAAAGAAGTTTCCGATCTGGAGGAAAATTCGTGGCAGAATGATCGAAGCGATCGGGAGCAAAAAGAGATTTCGATCATCGATAGAGACGTAAAGGGAGAAAAATCTAAAGAGAAGGAGGAAAGCGTTTCGTCCCCTGGTATCGAGAAAGAATCATCTTATACAGAAGTGGGCGAAACGAACGATGTAACCAGATCGAAAGAGAATGTAAAGAAAACGGTAAAGATGAGTTCGAAAGTAGCCCAAGAGAAGGGCGAAGAACCGATTGGTTCTCGCATTAAAGAAAGCGAAACGACCTCCCGAAAGAGATCCGATCCCGGGCAAAGCGGCGTAGAAATAGATAAAGCTTCCTCGCCGTTCTCGAAGAAGAACGAGCCGCCATCCCAGAAGGCTTCCTCTGATCTTCATCAAAGGCCGTTACAAGTAGATAAAGATTCCTCTTTGGTGGAAATACCGAGTATCCCTTTGCCGTCCAACGTATCGGGCCACGGTTTGCCGGACAGTATATCTCGGATGTTGGAGGAATCTACTCGAGATCAACCGCAAACCGATGGAATCGAACGGCCTGATTTAATAAACGAAACGATGGAACGAGATGGCTTGGATCTCTCTCGGAGGGAGGCACCGATCTCCGCAGAATTAATTAAGGCTGTTGAAAATTCCTTCGAGGAGAAAAACGAGAGGATTTCGGGGAATATCGAAACGGCGAGCAAAGAAACGAACGAATCGAATAAATTAAAGCGTGGAGAGAAGGATACGAAGGCAGAATCGAACAAGGTGATCGGGGGATCTCGATCGACGATAATTACGACAGCTGAAAATGGTTTCACGGATCAAAGTTTCGAGACCGTCTTCCCGGAAGCTTCGCAGAAAGGCAAAGAGACGCAGGTAGAGGCGTTGTTATCTGCGATGAAATCGTTGCCGGAGCAATTACTGGGTCCTTTCATATCGGCGATGCAAATGTTGTCGTCGAAGAAATCGAGCGTGGTGGACGCCGGTATTCTCGATTCCAAATCGGGAAAAAATCAAAACTCTTCGCCTCTTCGAACTTCCGTTGATGGAGGATCGATCGAAGATGAAAGTGCACCTCGAAGCGTGGAAAATTCAGGGAAACTCGTAACGGAAGTAGGGGAAACAACGGCGGCTGACATCGAAAAATTGCAAGAGATCGAAACGGTACGTAGAAACGAGAAAAACGATAACAACGTTAAATTGACTAACGCAGAAGGGAGGGAAATGGAGGCAGAATTTAACAGGAATCGGGTCCCAGAAGAAGAGAAATCGTTGCGGAACGAAGGGAAAACGGAAACATCGATAGAACACGTAAGTTCTCAGAAACGTTCCCCGGAAATTGCGGTTGACGATACTAACACAAGTGAAAAAGCACCTAATTCTGAACACTCTCGACGCTCAATAAACGAAATTTCGAGCGTCGATCCGAGGGCATCGTCATTATATATCGAGAATTCATCTCATAAATATCACCTCGAAGCGAATTCTGAAATTCATGCGATTGACCACGAGCGATCGTCGTCGAAGGAAACGGATAACTCGAACGGCACGAGAGATTCTAGGCTTAACAATGCATCTTTGAAAAACGAATCACTCACCATTGATAATCCGATAAGACTGAACGAGGCCATTGGCGCACAATCATTATCGAGCGAGACGTCATCCTCGTTCGTACGTGACTCGGGGACGTCTGTCAGTGAATCATCCGACATGCAAATGCGCTCGACCACTATTGGGGCTCGAGCTGGCGATGATAACCGTGTGAAATTAATTGATGCCAGTTTGGTAGTTGACAATCGACCCTCTGCGGAGAGTGCGGCTATTTTGGGACGTAAATCGCTTGATAATAATCATACTAATTCGACTCGGACGAATGTGCCTCCTAAGGTTTGCACCCTTGAAGAAAGTCCTAATTTAGTAGACGGTAGAATCTCTGTTGGCCCAGCTTTGAAAAATTCTCGAATCGATCCGCAGAAAATTTCCGAGGAGCCCGATAATTTAATTAAAAATGTTTCTGAAGATTGTGGAAATATCAGACACGAGATTTTGAAAGAGGTCGCTCGAAAAGAGATAATCGAAGGATCTAGATCTATTAGTCCAGATTCTTCAAAAGGTCTTGAAATAGCTCAGGAAATTTCTGTAGATTCTAAGATCGTTGTAACTTCTATAGATTCCAAAGTTGATGGAATCCCTCCAGATATCGAATCCTCTGTTCCCAATATCTCAATGGATTCTAATATTGCTACGCGCGAAGAATCAGAAAATTTGGAAATTTCTATTCAACCAGTTCCTGAGAATTCGAATATTACGTCTAATATTCCTTTAGATTCTAAAACTACTACAATCTCTGAAATTATTTCCACTGAAATATCCGCGGATTCTAAAATTGTTGTTGAAGAAATTTCGAAAACTCTTACACGTGAGATTCCTTCAGATTCTGATATTCCCAAAGATTCAAAAATTACAATCTCTGAAACTTCTAGATCTATTCCAAACGAGGTACTTGAAGATTCCAAAATTTTTTCTGAAGATTCTTCGGATTCAAAGTTAGCTATTCCTGAAAAGAATTCTGATATTTCAAAAAATCTTGAAGTAGTTTCTGAAACTTCGAATGATTCCAAATCTCTTCCAAATGAAATTTCAAAAACTCTTACACGTAAGATTCCTTCAGATTCTGATATTCCCAAAGATTCAAAAATTACAATCTCTGAAACTTTTAGATCTATTCCAAACGAGGTATTTGAAGATTCCAAAATTTTTTCTGAAGATTCTTCGGATTCAAAGTTAGCTATTCCTGAAAAGAATTCTGATATTTCAAAAAATCTTGAAGTAGTTTCTGAAACTTCGAATGATTCCAAATCTCTTCCAAATGAAATTTCAAAAACTCTTACACGTGAGATTCCTTCAGATTCTGATATTCCCAAAGATTCAAAAATTACAATCTCTGAAACTTCTAGATCTATTCCAAACGAGGTACTTGAAGATTCCAAAATTTTTTCTAAAGATTCTTCGGATTCAAAGTTAGCTATTTCTGAAAAGAATTCTGATATTTCAAAAAATTTTGAAGTAGTTTCTGAAACTTCGAATGATTCCAAATCTCTTCCAAATGAAATATCCGAAGATTTAAAAATTTATACTCAAGAAGATTCTTCAGATTTAAAATTAATGATCGTTGAAAAAAATCCTGATATTTCCACAGATTCTAACATATCAAATGATTCTAAATCTGCACCAAACGAAATATCTAAAGATTCAAAAATTATTATTCAAGAAGTTTCGAAAGATCGAATTCCTATTCATAAATCTTCTTCAGATTTAAATATTATCCCCGAAGAAAATTCCAAGGCTAATTCACCTGATACTTTCGAGGAATCTGACAACGGTCACAAACCATCCCAAGAGTCCAAAACTGCAGAGATCCTTAACAAGCCCACAACGATCGTCCACGAAACTTCTGAAAACGCGTTGCATGTATCTGAAAAAGTGGAGCAGCCTATCTCCGTCGCATGCCACGTCCCCAACGACAAAATCGATACCTCACCGCTAACTTCTGCAAGCAAGTGTGTCGATTCTAAAGAAAAAACTTCCAAGCAAATTAACATTCGATCGAAACCAGAAGCAGAAGATAACACTGCGTCTCCCGCGAAAGTAAACGACATAGAAAAAGATACTTCTCTTCTTCTTCTAGAAACAAAAACTGATATAGAAATCCAGGATAATTCGAATAAATCGATAAAAAGGATCGATTCGGAGATAGGGAAAAACGTAGATGGAGAGATTCGAGCCGTGCCCTCCCCCTCGACATCTGGCAACGTGGACGCGAACGAACCTTGTGAAGCACCCGCGAATACCGAATCGACGATTGTAACTATCTCGAGTGACCCTTCTATTTCCGGTTCCTCGTCGAGCCCGCTTACTTTGAACGGATCGGCCGTTAACGAGGCAAATTCCACGGATACTAACGACATACCGTTCGTCGCTCCTAATAACGTTCCCGATATCTCGCATAACGCGTCAAACTCGATCGAAGGAGGTATCGAGTCGAATCTGAACGAAACTTATTTCGCCGATAACGTGCCTGGAATCCTTAACGAATCTTCCCGCGACGATGATAAAAGTATAGAAAAAGATTCGAACAATAACGCGGCCAATTTATATCCTCCAACTTTACGGAACGAAATTGGGGGAAATGGGGTCGAAATAAAACGATCGAAGGAAAATCCTGAAATATACGTTGTCTCGGATACTTCTACGATCTGCGAAGACTCGTCGGTAAATTTAACGGGATTCGATTCGGGTATTGATTCCAGCCAAGGAATTGTCGCGTGCTCGAACGTAAATGGTATTAATGAAGCACATACAGGAGCAGCCGACGTTATAGAGATCAAAATAAGCGAATGCCCTATGATAGCGGTGAACGATTGTGCGCCAATAAAAGTGGTAGAAAGTCGAGGGGAAGGGGAGCCGATCGAGGGATCGGGGAAATTGCGAACAGAAAGCGAGACACGCGAGATCGTGACGATTTCGGGAGAAAGCGCGGTGGACGTCGAAAATAATGAAACGGATGCAAATGAAGTTGATAAAGCGGTTACTTCGAGAGGTACGGTGAAGGAGAGATCCAAATCTCCTGCGAAAAAGATCGGCAGAAGGAGGTCTCCAGTGAAAGTAGTGAAAAAACCTACCGGCATACCGAGAAGAAATTTCGGAAAAGTGAGCCCGAAAGGCGCGACGATGGCAAAGGCGAAGGAAACCGCGATCGAGATAACTCGAAGATCGACATTGTCGAATCAAAAATCGTCGAGAAAAAGTCCTCCAAAAACTACTACGAAGATCGCGAGAAATATTTCTTCGAACGAGGTAACGAACAGAACGAGATCATTGCCGCTTAGACAAAGGCAAATTTCAAAGAATCTTAAACCTCCAACAGAGAAGGTGATAACGGAAAAGAGATCGACAATTATGAATACTTTATCGAAAGGTTGCGAACAAATTAAGAGATCGATCATGCCCGCGCAATTAGCCGCTGATAGAAGTAACGAAAAAGCGGATGAGAAAAATTTAAAAGGGAAGAACACGTTGAAATCTTCCTTCCTCTCGAGGATCCCCGTGTTCACGGCAAGACGTCGACTTCCACGACAGACTGGTGAAACTTCGTGGCAATCTTGGAGAACGGTATCCGGTGACGGGTTAACTAGAGCTTCGACGAAACCATCGATTACCCAACAAGCATCGAGAAAAAGTAGTTCAGCTGGAAATGCTTCGAAGATTGGAGCCGGGCAAAAAATGGATTCCGATAAAGTCGAGGGAAATTTAAATGGCGGAAAGACGGTGGCCGTAAAAACTGAAGCAGCTCGGACGAGAACTTCCGGGGATGAGAAAGGCACGGGAGAAAAAACGAAACCCGCGATGGTATCGGAGAAAAATGACAAGGAGGTAGTCGTGATCGAGTCTACTACTAAGGGAGATCCGATGGTATCCGAGGAAGTGGATTTAAATGATACGACTTCGAGCGAAGAATACGAGCTGGAAGAAGTTTCAGATAACGAAACTTCCGCCTCAGACTTGGAGAGCATCACTGAATCGGAATGTATATCGGAAAAAGAGCAATCAGATCGTACGTTGGACAGTACGGAGGAGCTGACCGATGCCGAAATTATGCTACAAGAAACGATTAACGCGATAAAGGCGAAAATATCCGATTCCGAATTCGAGAATTCTGAAAATGAATATATCACTGATAACGAGAGCCAAGAGGATTCTAACGAAGATCACGTGAGAGATTCTTTCTCCGAAGAAGAGAAGGAACAATTGGAGAAAGATAAAAAAATTGATAATGAAAATTCGGATGATGCATCGTCCGAAGAAGATGATACTTTGAGAGATGATAACGTTGATCTGAAGAATCAACAATTGCAAAGAACAAATAAATTACACGATAATAAAACCAAAAATGTATCTAAAAAAAATATTATTTCTAAAACTTGTTCCACTAAAAAATCTGCTGTATTTATAAAAAATGACACAAATATCGTCAAAGATAAGTCTGCTAAATTAAACGAAAAACTTGAAATAAACAAGTCTGGTAAAAACGAGCAAAACAAGACAGATCTTAAGACAGAAATCGTAAAAGTGAAGCGGTCGAGCGATAAACGCACGAAAGTGAATCGCAGAGCGAGTACAGGCTTTGACAGAGGGGTGGATCAGGGTGGAACGTTAAAGAAACGATTCTCTTTGGTGGCCAGTTGTATCCGTCGATTCGAGGGCGAAGAGAAAACAGAACGAGAATATGTGGAAAGTAGGAGCGGCAAGGCAAAGACAGGCGGATCTCCCAAAACGGAGAGGGAGGTCAGTAGACGTCAGTTGTCAGAATCACTTGTCGACTTTGTCGGTCCTTACTGCTGACAGGCCAATGTCTACAAACAGCTCTATCAACGTGTCAAAACACGAATGAGATAAAATAAAAAAAAAAAAAAAATGAAAAAAAGTAAAAAAAAGATAGCTGACAACATCCCTGTTGAATTTTTAACCCTGTTTTGACTGTAGCTTTTAAATATTTTTTCTCTCGACTAGGATAAAGTTGGCTCTCTGTTTCAACGAGGTAAGTTGTACTCCTCTTGTTTCTCGTCGTGACTAATATCGCTGTTGTATAGCATGTTGCTTTGTTCCGCTGTGTGTTCAAATTAAAAAAGTAACAGAATCGTGGTATACGCGCGAAACTCGAGGTTTGTACGTCCATGAAGAAAGCACACACCGAGAATTTAATTTAATATCGCGGAACACGACTTTTCCATCATCTAATTTGTTGGATGGTTCCCAGGTTTTTTAATAATTTAAATGCACGCAGATAATATGTTATTTCTCCGACATAAGCATTTCAAGTAATAATAAAAAGATACTACTTCTTGATATATGTATATTCTTGATGTATACGTATGTCTGTAAGATAATTTTGCATTCAGAATTATTCATTGACAATTATTTATGTTTCGTAATTACTTTTAGCTTCTATTAATATTCTATTTATGAATTGATCGATGTTATCGTGTACCAGAGCTCGTTTCTAGACGTTGGTGTAGTCTTTGTCTATTGTATTTTTGCATGTTATTATTTTCACGTATCATTCTATGCACCAATCTTTATAAAGACTATTTTATAAAGACTTGAAAATTCCACAATTATATTTTTATTTGAATTAAGCCAAAAAAAAAAAAAAAAAGAAAAACATAGTTATTATACTAATATGAATAAAAAAAAAATTAAAATTGAGAAAAATTCTCTTACATTTACAGAGAATTGCTCGTCGTCTCTTAGCGGAAGGTAAAGCGTCGAATTACGACGAAGCGGAAGTAGCCGCCAGTTTGCTGGCTTTGAAGTTTGGAGACGTTGAGGCTCTTCAAGCGGCCAAAGAGTGTTCCAGTATAGAATCAGCATTAGCATTCTTACAACAGGAATGTGAACTTTGCACGGGTCGTTTTGCGATGAGTCAGGTATTCGAAATTGAATCATGTTGCATATTTTATCTCAGAATCCAAATTATAAATTCCTTTCTTAATCCCAGATAGTGTCCATGTTAAAATGCATTCATCGTTGTTGCAACGAGTGTGCAAAGAATTACTTCACTATCCAGATCAGTGACAGAAACATAACGGATGCAGTTTGTCCATTCTGTAAAGAACCAAATCTTAAAGATGCGAATGAAGACGAGGTTCTCGAATATTTTAGTAACCTGGACATACAGTTGAAAACACTTCTAGATCCTCCGATTCACGAACTCTTTCAAAGAAAGCTGAGAGATAGAACATTAATGCAAGATCCGAATTTTAAATGGTGCATTCAGGTGTGTTTATTTCATACACATTGTCATAATTTTCTTTATCCGAAGATTAATTGCAAAGGATATAATACACTTATGGTTTTTAGTGTTCAAGCGGATTTTACGCAGATCCAGATCAAAAGAGATTAATATGTCCCGATTGTCGATCAGTCACGTGTGCCCAATGTCGAAGGCCAGTACGTGATAATATTAATAATTAGAAGAAAATTAAATGGAAATTACATAAGCACGAAGAAACATCTTTTCTGACGTTGGTTTCGTTTTCAGTGGGAGAAACAGCACGAAGGAATTACGTGCGAGCAATTTGCTGCTTGGAAAGACGAGAATGACCCGGATAATCAAGCCGCTGGCTTAGCCAAGCATCTCGCGGATAATGGGATAGATTGTCCTAAATGCAAATTTCGTTACTCCTTGTCTAGAGGAGGTAAGTTCGAACGAACACTCAAGATCTAATTACTCGAACCATAATGAATTTCCTGTAAAATACCGAATTACATTACAGTATTACACGTTAATTTTACATGGGACTTGTTCAAATTAATCAATTAATATATAATATGATTCTTCCTATTTTAAATATTTTTATCTTTCAAATGACCGATCGTAAATAAAAAATATTTTGTATAGTAGTCGAATTTATCAATATCGAAAATATCATACGTTTTTTTAGGTTGTATGCATTTCACATGTAGTCAATGCAAGTACGAGTTTTGTTGCGGTTGTGGTAAAGCGTTCATGATGGGAGCAAAATGCTCGGTAAGCCCGTATTGCGCAAAGCTGGGCCTTCACGCTCATCATCCACGGAACTGTCTGTTCTATCTTCGCGATAAGGAGCCCGGCCAATTACAACAGCTGTTACGAGATAATGGAATCGAGTACGACACAGAGGGTCCAGCTGGCGAGCGCAAGTGCAAAGTGCAATTGCAAAAAGAAACTCCTACTGGTGTTGTAGACGCGGTATGCAATTCAGATGTTGTCGAGGGACACGCTGGTTTGTGCAGGTAATTTGTTTGTTCCCTTTTGCATGTATTCTCCATTATTACAATTATCATTTTTATAATTAAATATCGTTGAAATCCTATGGGTATTGCATTATGATTCTGCATTAAAAAATTCATAGCAGAAGAATCAATATATTGTTCATCGTTATAATGTTTGTCTGGAATAAATGAAAAATAAATAATGTAAGTTATTCATCATAGACTAGTGCTAATATTAGAAATTAATTCGTTTGAGCTTCAATTCTTCAATGCCATTAATTTCCCCTTTTATTAATTACAAAAATCTTTTATTATCTTTTATTAATCTGTTATTATTGTTAAACTCTGAACAAAAGAAAATTAAAAATTTATAAAAAAAAAAATAAAAAGATATATTATAAAAATAACAAAATAATAAATATTTCATCTTGAGAATACCGAATAGTTAGTTGCTTTTTAACGTATCCTTCGAATATTTAGGAACCACTATATCGAATACCTAGTTCGAAAAATCCGGATGATTCAACTGGAACCGCTTCCGTTACTAAACATAGATGATCTTGAGACATGCGTGAAACGTGCGGGGATCAAGTTACCCCCGAATTGGTACGGTCGTGATCCGGAACATTACAAGAGAGACTTGATCGAGGTAAATGAAGAAGCAGCGTGCATGGCACGACTAAATTCTGGGTACTTTTCCCCGCAGGCAGCACTACATAGAGTACTTGGCGGGTCTGGTACTGAAGGGCAAGCTGGATCCCGTGGCGATCTTTGACTTGAACGATGCCAAGCAAGAGCTGCGCCGTCGGGGAAAAGTTCCCCCTGCGAAGGACCAGGAAATGTCCGAGCGGGATTATCTCGAGGCGTGCATTCAGGTGACTAACAATTCCTCTCCTGCACTCCTGCCCCGACACACTGACCGAATTAACAAGAAATGCACGAAAGTAGATCTTCACACATGACTTTCGCAGCCAAAAAATGCGGTGTATCGAAAAAAAAAGAAATCTGAAATTGTGGATATGAATTTTATTTTTTTTCCTTTTTTTAATTCTATATTGGAATGAATATTAGTTTTTAATACCATTAAAAATATTATATTTATTATGTTTAACATTTGGATGTTTTGCAGATCGTGCGCAAGGAAATTCCATTGGAGTGATAGAAGGGGAATAATTAATGTGCGATTTTACGTAACTCACGCTTTTTATGCATCATGTATAGTGTATTTATTTTATCGTATGGACAGCGATGTAGAGAACAATTTACAATTAAAGTAAACAAAGATTGAAAATTATTTAGTATTTAATGTAAAATATAATAAGTATTTTAAAAAAATAGGATTTGAAATTTAAATATCAATTCTTCTAGTTTCTTTACTTTCTTTATATATATATATATATATATATATATATATATATATATATAAATGGAGCGTGATAAATGTTTTTTTATGTAATAAAAGATTTTGTGTTTATAGAACATTTTATAAGATACTTTAACAATAAATTATTTTCAACAAAGTTCTGTTAAAAAACTATGTAAACTTCTCCTTTTTCGAGATGTTGCATGTTCATTCATAATATCTTTTAATTTTTTTATATTTAATTTTTTTAACTTTTGATTTGGTGTGGTCAAATTTTTAATGCTTTCCATTTTTTCTTTGTTTTTTTCTTTTAATTCTTTTGTAACATCTTTTGCAACATCTTTTGTAACATCTAAGCTTGAAATTCCAGAAATATTTAAACCAGCAGTCTTATCCTTGATTCTCTTCTTTTTCTTCTTTTTTGAACTTTGAATATTTTCTAAAGTAATTTTTTGTATTTTTTCTTTTTGAGGTTTATTAAGAGATATTTTAGTATTTTTTAAACAAACTGAACATTTAAGTATTAATTTATTCATTTTATTTTTTAAACATTTTTTCACTAAAGTTCTCTGAACTTTGGATATTCTTTTTTCACTATTATTCATAGAATGTATAATTTTTTTAATGGATTTTGAAAGTGGTTTACCTCGTGATATTCGAATAGTATAATTCATTGTATTCCAAAGTGATCCACAATATATACACATTACCGAGGGACCAAAATTTTGAGATGACAAATGTATTCCATGACTAAATCTTTTACATTTTTCTCTATATGTAATATAATATCATATAAATTCAACTTATATTCACATTTAACTTAATTTATTCTCTTAAAATAAATTAATAAATAAAGTATAACTTACATATAAAACGTTTGCAAATTTCTACTTTGTGAACAATTTAATTTTGTAATAAATTGATTCACATTCCATAAATGTGTTATTCTCTCCATATATCTTGTTTACAAACATACACGCACATACACAAGATAAAATATATCAAAAATAAAGCAATATTTTATTAGAGATATTATGAAAATATCATTCGGATAAATCTACATATAGTTTATATATAGATAATATATTTTCGATGATCAAATATTTCCGTTTCAACAATGCGATACGTTAACTCTAGTATAGAAAAAAGTGTGTTTTAAGAAGTGAAACTGATCAAATTGTATTAAAAATATGTCGAAATAATAGACAATAAGAATGGTTTTATGTTTTGTAAATATATCGCGTTAGTACTTTGAAAAATTCTTGATTTTTACAATATCACTACACTTATTAATAACAGTTTTGTTGTCGTTAGAAAAGCAAAAAAAAAAGGAAAAATAACCTCTAAGTACTATCACGAGACGTCACTACTATTGAGTAACAGGGTAGCCAACGTATGAAAATGCTGAGGTGGCTGTAGAATTCCTAAACTAATCCGTTAAAGATCTATAATATAATAATACAGTATATATATATTCCAACAGATAGTTTCTACTCTATAAGCAGGCAGAACCAGGGAAGATTTTAGAAAAATTTTTATTTTGTCATCCTTGTCATCGAAGCACCGGGAGTACTGTCAAACAATACTTTAAATAAATTGTTGTCATTAAAGGGTAAATTAATAGATCGACATGGGAGACGGGAAGAAGGGTGAACGACAACCATTATTAAAAAACGAAAATGTCACTTATAGTTCACATGCCAGCGATTTCGTAGGTAAATAATACATAATCTTGTTCACGAAAGAATTAAGTTTATTTAATCCGATTGCTTATTGTTACCTATTATATTCTACTGTAGATGAAGCTGAATCAACAGTCAGTACAGTATCTGCAATAGGTCCTGATGAAGTACCACCTCCATATGAATCAGGCAATCAATGTGGAATGCCTATGGTTACTTGCAGAGTTTGTCAGGCTATGATAGATATTTCTGGTAAAAGAGATCAACATGTTGTCAAATGTTGTCAATGCAATGAAGCTACAGTACGTTCTCAAAATAATTTAATTCACTGCAAAACTTCATATTAAAATTAAAAATAATAAATATTTTTTAGCCCATAAGAAATGCACCACCTGGAAAGAAATATGTTCGTTGTCCATGTAATTGTTTATTAATATGTAAGAGTTCTTCACAACGTATTGCTTGTCCAAGGCCAAACTGTAAACGTATTATTAATCTTGCTCCAAGTCCAATTACACCACCTGTTTTGTCTATGCCTGGAATGTGTAGGGTGTGCTGTGCTCACTGTCATGATACATTTTTGGTAAGAAATTAAATAAAAAATTATATATTTTGATATAATTTCATTACAATTAATATATATGTTATTACATTTCTTAGTTTAATACCTTGAATAATGCTTTGGCTCGATGTCCACATTGCCGAAAAATATCTTCTGTTGGACCAGATTTTGCTAGGGGTCGAGGTATTGCATTCATTATTGTTGGAATAATAGCCTTAGTAATTGCAATAGCTGTGACTGTAAGTATATATTTTTATATCATTTTATATTTATAAAATTATATAATAATTATTTAAAATAATTTATATACGTTTTAAAACAAATTATAATTAGTATTTTTTTTATTTTCAGGTTGGAACACATACATATGTGAAAACTAGTGGTGGAATTTATGTTGCTTATGTTGGTAAGTGTAAGAAAATCTTTTTAATTTCAATTAATATAAATAAATAATCAAATAAATATATAATATAGAATATCTCAAATATATGGAAATATATTTTTAAATATTATTAAATATTATTAAAGTAATAAATTATTTATTTAGCTTCTTTTTAATTTTATTTTCAGGTGCATTTCTCCTGGCACTTTTGTGTTTGGGACGCAGCATTTATTACTGTACAATGAAAATTAGTATGATAGAAGGTCCTATGTAATATCCTAAATGACAATCAATTGCTGATATTTTAAAATCAATTCCTCTAACATCTATGTCGTATAATAATATATTTAGATCAAATGTTTATAGTAATAAAATGACATATAAGTCCTGTTGGGACAATACTTGGTAGATATATACATCCTTACACATGCATATGTAAGTTTTTATTGCTAATAATGTGCAACATTCTTACATATACATATGCAGATGTACATGTTACGGACAAAGAGAATGTGTAATAAATGTATGACACTTTCTCACATAAGGTAATACATCACAAAAACATAAAAAATACTAGAAAAGAATGGGGTATCCATTTTAAAAACAAAGGATTGTTCCTCTGCACTTTTATATGTACAAGCACAGGACCAAAACAACAACCCCATTATATTGTTTTCATATTTGAATGAAAATATACTATATATGCTTTCTACATTGCAGTAAATATACAAAATGCACATAGATATATATGCAAATAAAACATTCTTGCATGAATATTATTCCAATTGTAAACAGCTATACATATAGCTATATATTATGTTTGCAATTATGAACTTGCATTGTCATATGAATATCTTTTTAAAAGAATATAATGTTTTGAAAGACATTTTTGAATTTATGTATTATTTGACATGCAAGTAAAATTATATAAAATATATATGTTGAGAATGTTATTATCTATTTTATTACCATTGCATAATCAAAATTATTAAATTATTTTCCTACTTTGCGCATAACATCTTTTTTAAAAAAAGTTTGTAAGAATTTAATTTTTGATAATCAACTGAAAGTTTAATTATCAAATAATTATGCAATAGATAAATTGCCCTTTTCAGACATGATATATATGAAATAAAACTAAATTAAAATTAGAATTTTAGTCTTATATACATATTTCAGCATGTACATTTTTACAGCGTAAGATATGTAAAAATATATGTAAGTATATAAAATATGTGATATTATTATAATTAACTAATTTATTATATAAAAGAAAAATAATAATTCATTCTTCTTATTTCATTTTGTAACGTTCTTGTTTATAAAATTATTTATGTAATGCTTTTTATAATCTTAAGAATATTTTTAAACCTTAAAATTTAAACCTAATTCTCTGACAATAAATAGTAATTGTTACAAAGTATAGTTAGTTCATTCATTCATTTTTGTTGTAAACTTGACTTAAGCTTTTATCTAATATCTAGTAACTTTATACATTTATGCATTACATACATGTTACATGTGTGTAAGTTCTCCTTACCGCCAAAACTTAATATGATCATACCAATAAAAAAGTATTATTTATTATTAAAAAATATTAATCAATTTTAATATTAGATACAAATAATGAGTTTTTATTATTTTATAGAGATGGAGAAATTGAAGAATGGGCTATTATTGAATTACAAGGTGATTTAAAATTTCAATCTGTGGATATCACAAATAAATATATCGGAGATTTGCATTTTTCAAAATCTGGTACGCCTATACTTATAATTGGGATTCATGTATTACATGGAAAAGAAATGGAACTTCCAAAACCATTTGCAGTTTTAACTAAAAAAAGTAATGAAATAATTGATAATACTGGTACTTCTGAGAAAAAAACGGAATATATTGTTACAGCAATCGTAAAAAAAAAATTAATTTTTAAATCAAGACCAAAACCTATCATAACAAATGTTCCAAAAGGTAATTAAACATAATAAAAAAAAATGATATCTAAATGAAATAATTGTTTTTATAGACTTTGTATAAATTAAATGTTATAATTATTGATAAATAAATTTACATGTATTTAAAAAACATAATTTTATTATTTTTTAGACAATTAATCTTACTTAAAAATAAACATTTTAAATTAATGTATAAACAATATAAAATCTAATCCTTCATTTCTCCTTCTTCATCTTCTTCTTCTACACCTCTTATATACATTACATTATTACATCTGATTAAAACTTCACCAAGATTGCCAGTACAATTTCCATCTATATGTTCCTCTGTATTAGCTAATTGTAAGTTCATATATCCATCGACAGAAACAAGATAGCCTTTATATTCGTGACCCCATTTTAATTTTACCATAACAGGTTTACCTGTTAAACCATTTAAAAATGGTTTTGGATTTATTGGCATTGTAGCTGCCATTGTGTTGTATTTTTCTTTAATTTCTACGAAAAATATTACACAATGTACATGTTAGAAATATCTAAAAATTTAATATAATAATATGATAATAAAAAATAATTATAATATATAATATTTCAAAAGAATTAGTTAATAATTTAAATGAGAACAAAAAAAATAACAATCTGATTAAACTTAAAAATAACAAAAAAATTTAATAAATATGATATTTAATCTTAAGGTTAAGTTTATGTATAAATATTGAAAATATTATAAAAACCTATAATTTAAGTTTTATTTAATTTATGAAATTATTTGTTATTCATAACAAAAAATTTCATATAAACTTGTACTTACATGTTTAAAAAATAATATTGAAAGAAGAAATTTTGATCTCCTTTAAACTCTTACAAAAAAACACGACGCTTTAGTTTCATGCGATCTATTGTATTAGAAATGGCTGTTACTATAGGAAAATAACCTAAACTTGTCAAATCGCTTATAACTTTCGAAATATTTTGTATTATAGATTTTAAATTATTTATCTAATTTTACGTATATATTATACGATTTAATCAAAAGATTTATTAATAAAATTAAAAAAATAAAGTTATAAAGTTTACAATAAGAAATTTATACTTCTTATTGTAAGCAATTATATTTAATTGAAAATGAATATTTTACCGAAGAAAAGGTATAATTAAAAGTAATTCATATCTAATAATATTAATATTTTATATATTTCATCAAAATTATACATATTATTTTTTTTAGATGGCATGTACGTACTAAGGAAAATATTGCTCGCGTACGGCGGGATGAAGCAAAAGCTGCAGAAGAAGAAAAAATTAAACAAGAACGAGTTGAAAAAGCAGTAAGTATAAATGAGGACAAAGAAAATTATTATTAATCATTAATTAATTATTAATTGATTATGTAATCATGGGATTTGTCAACTTTCTATTAGGAAGCTGAAGCTAGAATTAATCTTTTGAGAGAAAAAGCTAGATCAAAATATGATGGACGAACAGAAGCAATAAAAAGTACAACAAATGCCTCTTCTTCAAAATGGAATCATGTTAATTTTTTTGCTGAATTAGAAGAAGGAAAACTTGATTATAATAAACCTAATGTTGAACATGAAAGAGAGAAAAAAGAAGAGAAAGAAAAATATGAAAAACAAATTGGTTATCTTACATATCTTGGACAAGATACTAATGAAGCAACAGGTAAAAAATGTTGGTATGAAGAATTACCTAAAAGATTAAAAGACACTGAGAAAGATGTAGAAGTACAAATTAAAAAAAAATTATTGGATGATCCTATTCATGATATCCAAAAATATTTGAACATTATGGGAAGTACTTCTATAGAAAAATCTTCAAAAATTAAATCAGAATCTGTTAAAAGAAAAAATGATAATCTAGATGAATATGATTCAGATCATAAAACATATTTAAAAAAACACAAACATAAAAAATCTAAAAAACATAAGAAAGAAAAATATAGAAATAAAGAAAAACAAACAGCAGAAAAACCAAATATAGATATACAAAAATTGAGAGAAGAAAGATTGTTAAGAGAACAGAGTGAAAAATTAAGAACAGAAGCTTTATTGGCTAAATTAAGAGGAGATCCAGTTCCAACAGTAACTCCAAAAACTCCCCCTAAATCTACTATTAAACAAAAATATAATTCACAATTCTTTCCTGAAATTGCTAGACAAAATGCTGAAAGAACCCCTAATATGCATCTAATGAGAGAACAATAAAATGTAAGTTGGTTTTTATTATTATAATTATGAACTAAATATTTTTATGTTGAAATTGTTATTTATTTTTTATTACAATTATGTAAATATCAATATACAATTACATATATACATATATATATATATACATATACAGATATAACTTACATAGAATTTTTGTCCAGTTGTTGATACTAACAATAAAATAATAATAATTCAGTTGTTAAATAAGATATAATTCATTATGGAATATCCCAAAAGTATTTTTATTTTATAAAGTGCAATAAAATACAAATAAAAAAGAAAAGATATTTAAATCGTTATTGAATGAAATACCAGATATCCCTCGTAAATTTACTAAATTATGCTAAATTCCGCGGTATCACGTGATACAAGATGGTGGAATATCACGGGTCTCATGGATAATGTATTAAAATTTGACGTTTATGTCATTTTTTCAGTATTCTTGTTCATCACTTGACTTAAATTCTCTGCTCGTAAGTAATACTTTTTACTTATATATATATATATTAATTATTTCCATTTAAGGTAAAATTAAAGTCCTATTTGAAATTTCCAACCAGACTTGTAGAACGCGCGAGTTACTTTTGTATAACGTGATTTTCGAATTTGAACAGCTGTGAATATACTTAATTACGAAGAAATGTCAATTTATAAAAGTTTTTATTTTAAATCTAAGAAATATAATAAATTGACTTCAATTGTTGTAAGAAAAATTAAATTTTTAAGTCATGTTACAAATCGACCTTAAGATAACCTCTTCACTAATTTATATAAACATCGGCACTTTAAAATATTATTATAAATAATGTATTTATTTTGTACATATTTTAAATATAAAATATCTACGTTTATTATAGTTTATAAAATATCTGTAATAAAGGTAATATATAATCCAAGTAAACAATTAATTTTAAAATAACCTTTTTATATCTTTACTACTATACTATTCTTTATATATAACCTCTAATATAATATCTTTACTTTTTAATATCTTTATTTATTCAAATATAAATATATTATTATCCTATAATTTTAAATTTTTATTTATAAATTATATTTAAGAACTTTTTACAATTAAAAAAATTAAAAATAAATATTTAACTTTTTATCTGCAAATATTAATATTTATATTTGTATTATAGGCAAAATGTTACTACTAATTTAAATATCAAGTACTTTTACGATATGATTTAATTAAATATAATCACCATGAATGAAAGAAGTATTGAAGATTCTTCATATCTAAGTTATGAAATAAATGGCACTAGATATATTTTACAAACTATATCAGATCCAGCTATAGATATAACAAAAACTGCATCAATTAATCAAGAACAAAGTACAATAAATATTATAGATGAATCACAAGTAGCAAAAGAGGATGAATCAATTTCTTTAATTTGCTTAGATGGTCAGGTTTACGCATTTCAAAATGGAGAATTACAAGAATTAGATTTTAATCAAATAATAGATGAAAATGAATCTCAAAATAAAACAGTGTTATTGGCTAAAGAAGATGTTAATTGTGAATCACAGTTTATTACTAATGAAGGATTAGTAATTGAAAATATTGATGAACATTCTCAAGAACAATATGAAATTATCGTGGGACAGAATGAAAAGAATTTGATTATGGAAAAACATAATGTAAATGCTAATGATTTTGTAGAAGTTGTAACAGCATTCAAATGTAAAATCTGTACTTATACTACTCAAGACAAAACACAATTATTACATCACTTTCAAAAAACACATGTAAATCCTAAAATGGATATAGAAGTGAGTTTTAAAATTAATTTTTCATTTGTAACATTTATATTGATATTACAATAATATAAATTTTACAGGTAAAAGAAGAATCTAAAAATATTGATGAAGTAAAATTATTATATATGTGTGGAGAATGTTCTAATTGCTTTCCTTCTATTGAAGATTGTAAAGAGCATATGATAAATGTAATTATTTAAAATTTTTTTTAAATTTTCTTATATATAATAGAAAACAAAAATATAAATAAAAATAATTATAATAATATTTGTTATTTCAGGATCATCAATTAACAGACACAGGTGCCAATAAAGGTGGTAAAGAAAATATAACAGATGATTCAAAAGATTCTGGATTATTAGAGTGTATAGGACAGAGTGTTGAAAATAATGATATAAAACGTCAAGTTAAGATTCAAAAACCTTTAAATTCTGAATATATGCTCAATAAAAAAATGATTGAATTAATGGAAAGAAATATAAAGTATGTATATCTTTATTATAAGAATTTTAAAAGCATATATATTTTACTTACTTATTCATAAATTTTATTAGGTGTTCATATCGAGGATGTCCATATAAATTTTCTACAGAAGAAACAATGCAACAACATGCACTTTGTCATACAGAATCACAAAATGGAACAGCATTTAAATGTACCGTTTGCCGTGATATGAAATTTACCAAGTGGAGACAATGCAGTTTACATTTATGGAAAAAACATCAAATTGGTAAATATCTTATATCAATATTTGAATAATAATGCATTAAAATATATTTATTACTAAATATTTTTTTTTTAGATATAGGTTTATTTACTTGTAAAATATGTAAAGCATATAAAAGTGCTACAATGGTGAAACTTTTAACTCACATGCGTGTCCATAGTGAGACTCGTGAGTATGAATGTTCGGAATGTGGTAAATGTTTTAAACAAGCCAGTCAATTGCGTAATCATAGAGTTATGCATTTGGATCGTAAAACATTGGAAGTAACTCGGTGGTACACATCGAAAAAATGTGATATGTGTGGAAAAACTTATGCAAATTCCAAATGTTTAAAAAGTCATATTCAAGCAGTACATTCAAAACTACGACCTTATGTTTGTAATGTTTGTGGGCATTCTAGTGCTAGGAAAGCAATGTTGCAAATGCATTTACGGCAACATACTGGCGATAAACCATTTAGTTGTGAACTTTGTGAATACAAAACTGGAGATCACAATACGTTGCGACGTCATATTATGCAACATACAGGTTTTAGACCTTATAAATGTCCTCATTGTTCTTATACTGCAATACAAAGTAGTAGTTATAAAAATCATTTAAAATCTAGACATCCTTTATTGTCTGGTTTATTTACATGTGATCTTTGTCCTTTTAAAACTGTTAAAAATCAAAGTTATATACAACATGTAAGAGATCACGAAAAAGGATTAATCAAAGCAAATATGCAAAAGAAAGGTAAATTCCGTTTTTTTATTAAAATCATATGTAAATATCATTATAAAACTGTATAACTTTTTTTAGATAGCGAAAATGTTGAAGTTTTTCCTGGTAATATCGCTGCGGCACAATTAATTTATAGTTGCTTAGGTGCCTTTTCAAAAGTGGGAGATACTTTAGAAGCAAACTTAATGTCTTCCTCAACATCTGCAGATGGTACATCACAAACAATTACAATACAAATACCATCAAAACATCTTGAAGGTTCACTGCCAACAAGAGAAAATGAAACTAAAAATAATTCAACAATTGAACAAGAAGATGAAGAAACAATGCATTGTTTTTTAAAAATTCCAAGGGAGGAAGAAGAAAGTATAGATACTGGTGGTATAACTATTCCTGCAGAACCTGAAGAATCGGGTGCAACAACAATTAATGTTGATACATGAAAATATAGACTATATTAAGAAAAATGTTTCTATACATTTAAAACAAACCAGAAATTTATACTTCAAAAATAATTGAAGAAATGCTAGTCACGCGTTACTTAGAAGGTATGAGAATCAACTTGTTCTTTCTTAAAGAAATGCTAGAATTAATGTATTAATTTTTTAAATCATAATTGTGATACTATTTTTGGAATTGTATATTATATCTGCAAAAACAAACTTAATAATTCGAATGTTTTGTTTAAAAAAATTAAATTTTGTACATTATTTTAAAGAAACGGAAGCATGTATATTTTCAATCAATTAATCGCAATTGATGATTCTATGTTCATATTTGTTCAAAAAAAGCTTTATTTTGCTCTAAAATAAGTTTTTATAGTTGAAAAAAACTAATTTTGAGATTTTTTATTTTAAATTTTATTATGAGTATAATTTATTATATATTAAAACACATTTAAGATTTTGAATGTATTTATTGATAATTAATAGGAAATTAGTAGAAGTGTACATAAAAATTGTAAAATAATAATCTGGAAACCGTTATATAAAATGTAAATTACAATGTTTCGTATAGTTTACAATATGATTAAAATAATATTTTACATGATGGACTAAAGAAAAATTCTCTAGTCTTTTTGACTTAATTAATCATCAGGTAAAAATAATACTTATTGCTATGGAAGATTGAATTTATGATTTTTTTAAAAGATTTTACATATTAATTATTGGATTTCACAAATATGTCTCACAAATTGAAATTTGGGTATCAATTTGCTTAAGTGCGAGATTTGTGAAAATGGTAACTAATGTGTCATATAAACATATTTTTTAAAAATCCAATAGAAAGTTTAAAAAATAGCTAAGTAAATTATAGTATATAACGGCGTTTTATATGCATTTTGTAAAAAAAAATGTGAAATGAAATAAAAAATACTGCTTTTCAGAATAGCCTAAGCAAATTGATACGAGTTATTATTTACAGCTAATTATCCATAAAATGTGAGAAGTTCCTTTTTTTAAGCAGCTGTTACGGATCTTCTCGTAAATTACACATCATATCACAACTAACAATCCCTGGGCAGTTCGCCATAATATGCCGTTAAAGCTATTAACTTTTTGTCCAGAAAGTTCTGCTCCACTTCTACACCACCACCTACTCCGGCTAACATGGCAAGCTGTAAATTTGTATATGTGTATAAAAAACAAAGCAATTATTGTAGAATATATTATAAAATAATATAGAATATCGAAATTTTTTGAATTTTATGAAATTACAAAAATTTACCTGCATAGTATCTACATTTCTAGGTAGAAAGTAGGCCACATGATCTGTGATTTTTCTTGCTATATTAAATAAATTTTCTCCACCAATGGGATGCATAATATTATTGAGATCAAAAGTTTCATTCTTAGCATATCCTGGTCCTCCCCATGGTGGACTTAGAAATACAACATCTGCGATTAACTTTGATGCAAGTGTAAAGAAATCTCCAACAATAAATTCTATTCTGTCATCAACACCATAAATTCGAGCATTATTTCGAGCGAGTTCGATTTTAACTGGATCTATATCTATCGCTAATACTGTGAAAAAAAAAAATATTATGAATTTATGTATTAATTATTTATATATAAATGAACATACCTCTTTCACATGTGAAAGCAAATTGTATAGCATTTCCTCCTGCACCGCAGAATGCATCAATTATGGTATCGCATTTGCATCTTTCGGCTATATGCTCGGCAATTTTTTCTGGTGTTACGGAAAACCAACTTTCTATAAACAAATATTTTATTATAAAAATTAAAAAATTATTAATAAAATTAACTTAACTAATAAAATTAATAAATATATCTTAACATAAATTTAAAATAAATTTTCATATATGTAATATTAAAGAACATACCACGATCCAATTTAATGCCTTGATCAAATTTGCTAAATAGACGATATCTTTTTAACCAATATTTTATTAAAGTTTTATCATTATCTATTTCTATTGGAAGGCTTATATTTCTTTTAGATTGTTTCTTTCGTTTCTTCTTTAGGGTTTTTTTTATACTATCTTCATCTGATAATTTCATATTTTGTATTTCGTTGTTACTATGATTTTCATCTATATCCATATCGATATTTAATGCATCAAAGTTTTCATTATCTTGTTCAGGAAAATGATCTTCTGATACACACTTTGTAGAATCACTTGTTTCATCTTGATCAAAGTATATATTATCATTTTTGATATTTTGAAAAACATCATTCTGATTATCAAATATGTTTAATGTATCATGAACATCATCAAATTGTTTTTTATCTGCTCCTGAATCTATTGAACTTGTGCTTGGTTTACTAAATATAAATCGTTTTGTTTGCAATTTTTTCTTAAGACTACGATCACATTCATCATCAGAACTTGATGTAAATTGTGCTGTGTAGGAACCTTTTTCAGAGGATTGTGATTCTGTTATTGCTGATGGCAAAACAGGACAATATGATAAATAATGTTTCACCTGGAAAACAAAACAAAATAAATAAAATCTATTTATATATATTTTTGCTTTATGAAAAATTTTATTTACTTTGTCTATAGTGTTAGTAATTTCCACTCCATTATCATCAAAGTATATATGCTTATTTGCTGGCTTGGATCTATAATATTTCATTTTTAATTGTCTATTTTGTAACCTAATATTTTTTTTTCTATATACTACTTCTCCTTGGAAATTTGATTGCTCATAATTTTCGTTGAAAGTATATCCCATCAATGAAAATGCTTTTTTTACCGATTCTAAACCTTCTCCTGTCTCCTCATATTCAGCTTCATGACTAAAAAAAAAATGCTCATAAATATTACATTAATATTTTTATATTGAAAAATTAAAAACAATTATTATAACGCGAGATATATATATATATATATATTATACCTTCGTTTTAATATTATAGGTTTATCTTCATTAGGATCATCTCCATCTCCTCCATTAGGATATTTTTTTTTAATACTATTGTTATCATTAGAAATAATTGTGCTATTTTCATTCTGTATAACTAAAGTTTGATCAATTTCCTGTTCAACTTCTTGTGAACATTCCATTTCATTAATTTTTTCATTTTTATCTGCATTAGGTTCATTTTCTATTGATTTAACTATTAAATTTTGAATAAGCATTCCTACTGATTCCATAATTAATCGTTTCTTTTTTGTTTTTTCTTTTTTAGCATAAGAAAAATTTTTATTAGATGCATTTTTACTTTCAGAAATATTAATTTTATTAGAAATATCTATTTCTTTTTGTGTAAAATCTTGGTCTATACTTTCATCACTTTCTTGTTCTTTCATATCTACATCATTATGTTCCTGATTATAATTTTGATCATTCATAATCTCAGATTGTTCCTTTTTGTATTTTTCTATAAATAATTTATAATGATTTTGATACTCTATTTGAAAATTTTCTTTCCATAAATGTTGCCAATACTTATCAGTATCTTCTGGAGCATATTCTTGATCAGAACTCGTATTTGTTATATTGCTTTCAATGGAACTTGTTACAGAACTGATGAGACTAGATGAATTTGTAGAAATGGAGTCACAACTAGAACTAGTAAGAGTCATTTTTGTAACGTTTGTCATAGAATCTGATGTTGCATTTGTCTTTGCTATTGACTCATTAATAGAATCACATCTTGTTAAAAGTCTTTCATCTTCTGCATTAGATTGTTGGTTATAACTTTCTTCCATACTAAATGGACTTAATGGATTCCAACCATCTCCAGTTTCTGGTGATGTTTCGAAATTTGTTAATTTTTTCCTATTATCTTCTGCATCTTTATCACTTACTTCTTGTTTACTTACATCATCGAAGGAAAAATTAATACTATATGCATCTTTTGCTTTTATTTCATTGTCTTCAATATTATTAGTTTTACTAAATATTCCTTCAAAATTTGAGCGATCAAGTTCACAATTTCTATGTGCTTGACTAGGAAAACATGTATTTTGTTCTGAAAATTTTTCAATAGCTTCTTTCATTTCTAATTTTTCGTCACTTATTAAATGTACATTTTGTTGTAAATATTCTGGATTTATATAATCTGCATATTTTCTAATCCAAGTTGTCCAAATTATGCGTTCACCATTTTCAGACCAATATTTTTCCCATGCAATATCCATTATACTCTTAGTTTTAGAGTACATAGAATAATATGGATAATCACGAGATTTATGATCACACTTATATTTAAGTGTAACATCTTCTTTATAAGATTGTGATGTACCATCATTCAAAGAAACATTTTTAAATATATTATGTATCTCAAAATCTTTGTCTTCTAAATTACATAATGGATTTTCTACATGAAATTCATTTTCATTACAAATGGATGGATCATAACTTAAAACTTCGATACTATTTGTAAGATGATCTGATGAGTGAATGTTTATTATTTTAGATTCAAATTTTAAGTCTTTATCTTCTTGGTGCTGTACAAGTATATTCACTTTATCAAATTCATCTTCCAGTTCAGTCTCTGTAGTTTGAAAAGTCTTTCCATATGATGCCAATAAGTTTTGTATGCTTTTAGCTTCATGTTGATCATGATATTCAGATAGGTCTGCACCTGAATCTGATTGATGCAAACCCAGTTTTTGCGTGAGGGAATGTGCAGTAGGACGATGAGCCGAATCACGAACAGAGTCATGTTCATCTGTGGAATAATTGTTGTCTGTGTGTGATGCACTGCAGTAACAGCTCACTGGTTCTTCCTAATTTTAAGGAAGAAAAAAATATGCTTTCGTTCAAATATTATTCGATACAAAATTTGATACATATATCAAATTACACTGGACTAACTGAAAATAACTTATTATAAATAAAATAAAGCATAAAAATAATTCTTACATCATGTTTTTCAATAGATTGTGTTTCTATTATAGACCTTTTATGAAGGTCTAACATTTCTTCAACACAATCACCTTCAACATCTTCATCTTCACTACCATCCTCTAGAGCAAGGACTGTATAAACTTCTGGATTTCTAAAAATAAAATAAAATTCGTTTAATAGAAACATACATATTATATTATTCTTATATTATATTTATCTTATAAAAAATAAAAAAAATTCAATTAATATAAAAATATTATATGATCATTTCATGTGATATAAATTGTTTATTTTTGATTACACTTATTTCATAAATAAAAAAAACAAGTATTCAGAAGTTGAAAAATTCCTTGTAAATATATTTGTTAGAAAAATAATATTACCATGTTGTTAACAGATGTTGAATAAAGAAAAAATTGAATAAAATTTTCAAAAAATATATTATGACCTAGCTCGTATTTGAGTGGGTGTCAAGGTTAGGTCATGTGTCACACCACTGATCGATAAGCAAGTACTACCTTCAATTTTCCAAGAAATAATAAATATGCTACGGCTATAGAATATAGAAATGAAATTGCGATATTTGATCAAATAAGTGACTCATATTTTTGAAAGTGTATTTACCGAATAAATACTCTGCTGCAAAGACAATAAATGTAATTATCAGAGTCAGAAGACTCTGCTTGTTTTGCGATGTACACTTCGGCTAAAGGTTCCCAAAAACGGTCACTCATGCCGACAGAAGTGTTTAATTGACTACTTGCTCGTGAATCGTCACAACACCCACATGTCTCACGCTCAAATTTTTATAACTCCCCCGTGCAAAAACAATCCGCCATTTCTTGAACAGCACACCATCGTGAAGTTGCTTCTGATTATCATCATATTATAACATGTTACAATGTTCAATCGATAACTATTGCTTTTGGTTAAATTTAATTTGCTTTCGAGAAATATTTATCAAAATTAATGATATAATTACATTTAGGTTATATATTATACTCTTTTGTTAGAATAGAATAGATATATTTTTTAGACACTAATTTGCCGTAATTTGTCTATAATCACATATCAAGAACAAATAATAAAAAAAGAAATATATATATAATATATTGTATATAAATTTTTTATAAATTATGTATTACATCTATATATATTTATATATACTTTATCATGTATAAAAATAAATATACATACATAAATATTAAAAATATTATAAATATAAATATTAAAAATATATACATATATATATAAGCAAATTTTTGTTTTCTTTATTATTCATTTTTATATTCCTCATATATTCCTACTTAAATAATTTTTAAGTTTATATTTAGTATATTTCTTTTATAAATTCCATTCTAATTGTCGACGAAATATATTTTACCGATAAATTAAATTTATAGGTATAATAAGTAAAATCGAATTTAAATCCCTATAATTTTTAGTATAAGAATATTTGTATATTTCTATTGCATATTTTTTATATATATAATATCATATTTTATATGTTTTAATATATTTTATACATATTTTTATTTTGTTGTAATTGTATTTTGTATATTTATATTTTGAATATATATATTTTTTTCTTACGTATTCATGAATTTTATTTTCTTTACCTTTTACCAAAAAATTTCCTTCCTCTAACTTTTTCAATTAAAAAAAAAATTTTTAATTCGAAATATTTGCATACATTCATTATTTCTTAAACTTTTCAAAAAAACAAACAAGTATTTCTAAATATAAAATTGTTGCACTTCTTATTTTTCTCACAATGTATTGATGGAATATCTAAATTTTGTCGATAAATTAGGAAAAGATAATAAATAGAAAATTTTAGTACCAGTGGCGCCATCTCGCGTTTGGATTCACGAAGCTCCGACTCGTTACTAGCATAACATAATATGCAAGGAGGTATGCGAACTCATAGACAAGGAACGCAACATTGTGTGAAAAGGACAGAGAACATTTAAAAATATGCCACATGGAAAAATCATTAATTACTCGTTTTTTACTAAAAATTTCTGCACTTTTAAACATGCATCTTGTAGCTAGAACTCCAAGCAACTTTCTCATATCAATTTTAATACGAAATTTCCTTTATTTATTTAATTATTCATAATTATTAATAATTAACGCGTCATACGTTCTAATAAATTAAAGACGCCATATTGAAAATTCATTAATTACTCGTTTTCTACTGAAAATTTCTACACTTTTAAGCATGCATCTTGTAGCTAGAACTTCAGACAACTTCCACATATCAATTTTAATACGAAATTTCCTTTATTTATTTAATTATTAATAATTATTGATAATTAACGCGTCATACGTTCTAATAAATTAAAGACGCCATATTGAAAATTCATTAATTACTCGTTTTCTACTGAAAATTTCTGCACTTTTAAGCATGCATCTTGTAGCTAGAACTCCAAGCAACTTTCTCATATCAATTTTAATACGAAATTCCCTTTATTTATTTAATTATTAATAATTATTAATAATTAACGCGTCATACGTTCTAATAAATTAAAGACGCCATATTGAAAATTCATTAATTACTCGTTTTCTACTGAAAATTTCTGCACTTTTAAGCATGCATCTTGTAGCTAGAACTCCAGGCAACTTTCTCATATCAATTTTAATATGAAATTCTCTTTATTTATTTAATTATTAATAATTATTGATAATTAACGCGTCATACGTTCTAATAAATTAAAGACGCCATATTGAAAATTCATTAATTACTCGTTTTCTACTGAAAATTTCTGCACTTTTAAGCATGCATCTTGTAGCTAGAACTCCAGGCAACTTTCTCATATTAATTTTAATACGAAATTCTCTTTATTTATTTAATTATTCATAATTATTAATAATTAACGCGTCATACGTTCTAATATATTAAAGACGCCATATTGAAAATTCATTAATTACTCGTTTTCTACTGAAAATTTCTGCACTTTTAAGCATGCATCTTGTAGCTAGAACTTCAGACAAGCTTCTTATATCAATTTTAATGTAAAATTCTTGTTAATTATTTAATTATTAATGATTAATGCATCATATGTAAATTAACATTATCGACATGCAACGCATTTTTCATTAATTTCATATTATTATAAGATTTATTTCTAAATATGAATATATGTATCTGAAACCTTGTTTTCTCCTCTATATTCATATATAATTTTTGTTCATAATATTCTTGTTATTTAAATAAATAAATTAATTGTTTATGATTCGGTTACCGACGGGATATTTACGATCGCAACATTCTTTATAATAATTGCTAATAGATATTTAATGACGAAGAATTTTACATTAAAATTGATATGAGAAAGTTGCCTGGAGTTCTAGCTACAAGATGCATGCTTAAAAGTGCAGAAATTTTCAGTAGAAAACGAGTTATTAATGAATTTTCAATATGGCGTCTTTAATGTATTAGAACGTATGACGCGTTAATTATCAATAATTATTAATAATTAAATAAATAAAGAGAATTTCGTATTAAAATTGATATGAGAAAGTTATCTGGAGTTCTAACTACAAGATGCATGTTTAAAAGTGCAGAAATTTTCAGTAAAAAACGAGTAATTAATGATTTTTCCATGTGGCGTATTTTTAAATGTTCTCTGTCCTTCTCGCACAATGTTGCGTTCCTTGTCTATGACTTCGCATACCTCCTTGCCTATCATGTTATGCTAGTAACGAGTCGAAGCTTCGTGAATCCAAACGCGAGATGGCGTTGATCAGAAATTTCTTGATTGTTAGTTACCTTATCGGTAAAGTCTACTTTTTCAAAAATTTATAGAATCAAAAAATATAAATTAATACTAATCTTTTGCACATTTATCTATTACAATAAGAGCTGATTTTTTTTTACTAAATAATAAAGTTTTAGTATTAAACTTTTTCTCAACATTTATTTTTAATAATAATAGAGATTTCAGAAATATATATCGAATATTTTTATATAATTTATTTTTGAAATAAAAATGAAATCTTATTTGTTTTCCATAATATTAGAAAGTTTTTTTCTAAATAAAAAGTGTATGATTTTTCATATTATAATATTATTAATTTTTTCATAATATAATATAATATAATATAAAGAATTTTTATATTTTGATATCTTTTCATATTAAAGTTTTTTTATTGTTTTCTTATATAGATGGCGCCACTATTTAACGACCAAGAAATTTGTTTTGCCGATAACAGTAGTACGATAAGTTTGAGCATTTTGTAAAAAGATGGCGTTACTAGTTAAGTCCTTATTTTTTTTATACGTTATTCATATATTTTATATATTTTTGTTATTTTTACAGGAAATAAATAAGCATAGAAAATAAAATGAATTATTTTAAAAACATTCAATAATAAAAAAAAATATCACTGTAAAACAAGACTTTCTATATCATATATTTATTAATTACATTGTTGTTATTAAATACATTGGTGAAAACTTTCACTTTATTTCCATAAAATACGTATAAACAATGGGGAAAGAGAGCAAGAAACCACTTCATTGTAATCAAAAGACTCGTCTTAATCATTTTAAGATTTCCATTAACTTATCTTTCCCGAATTAACAGTCGAAAAAGGGCGAAACGTGAGAAACCGCGTTCTCTTGTCGGTGAACGGCAATCAAAGTACTTTAATTAAGAGCATCTCTATTCTCAGGTATCTGAGGGCCCCGTCTCCTTTCCACGGCTTTAAGTCAGTACACCGTGGAAAGGAAGAATACTTAGGAAATCAACGTTACGAAGTAAAGTCAGCAGAGCGTGAAGAGGGGTCCTACGACACAGGATGTTCTTCTACCTTCCGTGTCGCTCGCACTCCGGACCCCCTTGCCGTAAAATCGTCTATTCGTGGAAAGATACTGACAGTGCCGCACGAAACAATGCTAGGTGCCCATAGTCACCATCATTCTTCAATCGTTTCGAGACATTAGAAAAAAAAAAAAATATCTAGAATTTTATTCCTCTCTGTTACGAAAAAATAAATGAAATATCTTTCTTCCATAGTCCATTTTTCTAATTCTAATCGGTCGAAATAGAAAATCGTTGTATCTCGTTACCAACAATTAGCGATATGCTTATACGATTACGCACAATGTGTCATTAAGCCTTCCATTCGACTTTTATTCCGTTCGAGCTGTTGTACATGCGGGTCGTAACGGTACTATCCAAATTAGGCGACCGTTGCGCGAGATACATACTCTAACAAACGCGCTTTTTGTTAATATCGGCCGCCTTCTCCTCATCGCGAACCGTGACTGTACGCGGACACGGTTTGCTGGTGCTCATTACCGGAAACAGTAAATCGTTTCCTCCTAAATTACGAAGGCGAGAAACCGCCGCCACCTCGATCCCGTGCTATAGATTACCACGAAGGAAGAATCCGTTTACTAACTTTACCCGTTGAATTTCGTCGGTGAACGGTGAATATAGAATGCACCATCAATGCAATTACAATTGCAGATGCTCATAACGGTATGCGAAGAAAAGATATCGTTAATATTTAATATTTCAGATAGAAATAAATTGTTCTCCAAGAATAATAATAAATTGGTTGGCAGGTTATGAAATATTCGTACGAAAGAATAGATATCTAGAGGATCGTTAAAAAAAGGAAATCGTTCCTGTGCACGCCGTGACAAAACCGTGTTTCGAGGCACGAGCTATCGCTTCGGTAACCCCGTGTGGTGCCCGACGAGATACCAGAAGAAGAAAGAGAAGAGAGGGAAAAAGGGGGATAGGATGGAGGGAAAAGGCCGAGAAACCAAGGCGCAGAGACGTGGAAAGGAACAATGACTCGCGGTGGTGGCGACGTTTATAGGGCCGTATCGGCCGACAGTGGGGTGAGTTGAGCTCGTA